GAGCGTCGTTAAATAAACGTTAAAACTAAATCTCGAGGGAAATCACCGTGGAAATTACATGCGCGAATTGCTGTCAGTGAACTCGGCGTAATTTGTTTGCAGGGCAACAAAATAACGAACGGTTGTCCAGTATGCGACAAAAGTTGCCCACCAAGGCAGACGAAACCCGACGAGACCCTGTGCTGGAATCGACAACACTGCCAAAGAGGTAAGTTATTATATTATTGCGACTAACAATAAATGATTTTATTTGCAATATACTTTTGTCGTATATCACTGATCTCTATCGAATGATTGCAAACATTGCAGCGAAAAACAGTAAATTTATTTTCGTCTTTTTCGATTTGAATTCTGATTAAAATCCTATTTAAATTCAATATGTGTATCGAATTTTTTTAAAAATCTCGTCTGTGTTCAATTAGAAAGACTTTTGAAAGCCAATAATTCCTTTTTGTAATTTAACATGTAATTAATGAGAGAGAGAAGCGAGATTAAATATAGCTTTTGATTTTTAAAACGTCAAATAATTTATCTCCGCAGTATGCAACGCAACATGCGGGGACAACGCTTGCAATGTCGGCACGGGAGAGTGCTGTCATTCGTCGTGTCTGGGTGGATGCACGGGACCGACGATCAACAATTGTACCATCTGCAGGAATGTGATGATCGCCGGCAAGGGGTGCCAGAACCGTTGTCCGAGCGGCAGTTATGAGTTCATGAATCGACGTTGCGTCAGCGAGAAGGAGTGCCGGCTAATGCTGAAGCCGCGCGAATCGTTGGACACCGTCAAGTTGTATCCGTACAAGCCGTTCAACGGCACCTGCGTGATGGAGTGCCCGGCCGGCTACATGGAATACGAAAACGAGGAAAACGCTAAGAATCTGTCATGCCGAAAGTGCAAAGGTCCGTGTTTGAAGGAGTGTTCCGGCGCGAACGTGGACAGCATCGCGTCGGCGCAAAAGTTGCGCGGGTGCACGCATATCGCGGGTAGCCTCGAGATACAGATACGCGGCGGCAAGAACATTGTAAAGGAGCTCGAGGACAATCTGAGCACGATCGAGGAGATAGACGGCTATCTGAAGGTCATTCGTAGCTTCCCGCTGATATCTCTCAATTTTTTGAAGAATCTGCGCGTGATACACGGCAATACGCTCGAGAACAACAAGTACAGCCTCGCGGTGCTCGACAATCAGAATCTTCAAGAGCTCTGGGACTGGAGCACGCATCCGAACATCACCATCAAGTCGTCGCAAGGCTCTCCTAAGGTCTTTTTTCATTTCAATCCGAAATTGTGCATGTACAAAATCGACATGCTGCGAGATAAGGCGAAATTGGACAATTTCACCGAGCACGATGTGGCGATCAACAGCAATGGAGACAAGGTCGCGTGCAATGTCACCGAATTGAAGACCAAGGTCACGAAGAAGACATCTAGGGGTGCCATTATCGAGTGGGAACCCTTTTTACATCATGACTACCGGTCCCTCTTGGGTTACGTTGTTTATTTCATCGAAGCGCCATATCAAAATGTGACGATGTACGACGGTCGTGATGCTTGCGGTGGCGACGGTTGGCGGGTGGAGGACGTCTCCGCCGAGAGCGCAACGTCACAGTCCCATAACGGCACGCAGCAATCGTATTTAGCTCACATACTCACTCTATTGAAACCGTATACTCAATACGCTTACTACGTAAAGACTTACACCATAGCCACCGAGGAATCGGGCGCGCAGAGCAAGGTCATGTACTTTACGACACTGCCGGACGCGCCTAGCTCACCTAGGGCTTTGTCGATCTGGAGTAATTCAAGCAGCGAACTGGTTATGTCTTGGTTTCCGCCGCTTCATAAAAACGGGAATCTAACGCATTATCGGATCGTTGGCCGTTGGGAGCCCGATGACCCGAATTTCATCGATCAGAGAAACTACTGCGACGAACGTAATTCAAAAGCCCTTCTATTCTTTTCGATATAATAATATAGCATACAGAAAATCCTACAAGAAGTCAAATATACAGTGTGTCTTAAAGTCAAACGATTAAATTTTGTCAATATATTCTATTAGTAGAAATAATAAAAATACTTTATAAATAGTGGTCCGAAAACGTTTCATTATTATCATATTACATTAAAAAATACATTGGAAAATATGTTCGCTTGGCTAATGCCATTCATTATTTACATTTTTCGTTTCTAATGCAAGCTCGACTTCGTTAACAGATTGAATTTAACATCCTATATAAAGTTCATGTCCATCTTGCTTTAATTTAGTGAATGACAAACTAATCTCGATAAGTTCTTGTCGCGAATTGATTCTTATGATACATTTTTGCTTTTTATGATACATTTTTACTGCAGATAAAAATCGAGTTAGAATAAAAAACATAGCTAGAATGAACAGATTAGATAAATAGCGCAGACTGTTATGTATCAAGAGTGAATACGCTGTTGTTATCATATTTAATATTTTTATTGTAATTTTTTAATGAGAAACGTTTTTGGACTAATGTTTATTTTTTTTTTTTTAATTTTTACATAGGATACACTGTGGCAAAATTTGATTGTTTAACTTTGGGATATCTTGTATTTATGAAAAAAAACTACAATTATTACAATTATTATAGACGCTATACGTATTTTGCTTTGCACTGCATACAAGAAATGACTTTTATTTTTTACAGCCATGTCGTTGCCCGAGAAAAAACCGATGTCTGTCATAGCGGAGGAAGAAAGAAAACGTGCCGAGGAAGAGAAGGAATTGGTGAAATCACCCGAGACTACTTCGTGCGGTTGTGCAGATCGAGAAACGACGGATCAGTCGATGCGTGAAAAGGAAGTTTCCAGTTCGATTGCCTTCGAGAACGCATTGCACAATCAGGTTTATGTAAAACGGATAAACGCGCGTAGAAGACGCGACGTCAAGAGCGAAATGTCGATCGCAGAATTAGCCAAAAATTCTAGTCACGATCAACAGGTAAGATTAACAAACTTTTAGATTTACTTTCAAGGCTTGAATTCACTGTTAATTATATAAATAAATATAAAAATATAATGAAATAAATTATATACATATTGAATTTATATTTGGTAAAAGCATTTCTCGAAAACTATTATTACTATATTTCGTATAAAACGATATAAAAGTCAATAAAATTCGGTAGAAATAGCGGTAGAAATATCAGGGTTTAACTTTGGGATATCTTGTATTTATGAAAAAAAACTACAATTATTACAATTATTATAGACGCTATACGTATTTTGCTTTGCACTGCATACAAGAAATGACTTTTATTTTTTACAGCCATGTCGTTGCCCGAGAAAAAACCGATGTCTGTCATAGCGGAGGAAGAAAGAAAACGTGCCGAGGAAGAGAAGGAATTGGTGAAATCACCCGAGACTACTTCGTGCGGTTGTGCAGATCGAGAAACGACGGATCAGTCGATGCGTGAAAAGGAAGTTTCCAGTTCGATTGCCTTCGAGAACGCATTGCACAATCAGGTTTATGTAAAACGGATAAACGCGCGTAGAAGACGCGACGTCAAGAGCGAAATGTCGATCGCAGAATTAGCCAAAAATTCTAGTCACGATCAACAGGTAAGATTAACAAACTTTTAGATTTACTTTCAAGGCTTGAATTCACTGTTAATTATATAAATAAATATAAAAATATAATGAAATAAATTATATACATATTGAATTTATATTTGGTAAAAGCATTTCTCGAAAACTATTATTACTATATTTCGTATAAAACGATATAAAAGTCAATAAAATTCGGTAGAAATAGCGGTAGAAATATCAGTAGAAAGTAAATCAGGAAATAATAATATATAGTTGGCTACGTTTAATTACATTGTACATTTTTGTATAAAACCGGATACGATTTTTGTATGTTTAGAACAAAGAGGGTACTAATGATAAAATGGAAAATGGCACGTACATAATATTCGAGCGATTGATATCGAGTACAAATCTTAGTGTCGTGATGAAAAACCTGCGGCACTTCGCCGCATACAACATCGAGGTTCAAGCTTGCAGAGAACGAGTTGAAAACGAGGATATATTGAAGAGAAACAATTGCTCAACGAAGAGCATGAAAACTTATCGTACATTAGCTATGGAGAGCGCGGATAATATTCCACCAAACACTTTCAAGCTGAGTATTTCTGGCGGAAATAACAGTCTCACTATGGTTACGTTATATTGGGATGAACCGTCTCAACCTAATGGTCTAATCGTCACGTACCAGATAGAATACAAAAGAGTAGATATAAAAAATGTAAGTAATATATCTTTTAGTTTTTATTATCAACTATACAAAAATGTTGCAAGCGACATATATGTATTGAGAGAGAGAGAGAGAAAGAGAGGAGATAATTTAATTTAAAAAAGTTTATTTTGAATGGAAATTGCTAATTATAATTTACAAATTATGACTTATATATGTATTTGCATATATGCTGTTGTCATCTAAATACAGTCTTTCTTTTCTATATTGTACAGATAAAAACAACGGTGGTGTGCATCACAAGACGCGATTTCACCAACGCAGGTAATTCGTATATTTTGAAAGACCTTCCTGCTGGGAATTACTCCGTGAAAGTTCGAGCTACGAGTTTAGCTGGATATGGCGCGTACACCGAAGTGAAATATTTTTATATAGAAGAATACGGCGTGCTGAATACATTCTGGATTTTCTTCTCATTAATATTGGCCCTTATTGTGCTACCGAGTTCTCTGGTCATATTTTACATATTTAAAAGAAGATCGTTGCAGAATATGCAGAGTATGAAAATTATTGCGACGGTGAATCCAGAATACGTGAGCACAGGTTACGTGCCGGACGAGTGGGAAATGCCCCGAAAGAAAATACATTTAATACGTGAACTAGGAAATGGTTCTTTTGGCATGGTATATGAGGGATTGGCCAAAGATGTCGTCAAAGATGAACCGGAAGCACGATGCGCTGTGAAAACTGTAAACGAAAACGCAACCGACCGTGAACGGATAGAGTTTCTTAACGAAGCTTCCGTCATGAAGTAAGAAGGATTAATTGCTTCTTTAATTAAATATATTATTATTTTCTTTGACTCAGTTGATTCATATCTTTCTCTATTGAAGGGCTTTCAACACCCATCATGTGGTCAAATTGCTGGGTGTAGTGTCGCAAGGCCAACCTCCATTGGTAGTTATGGAACTGATGGTGAATGGTGATCTAAAGACGTATTTGAGGAGTCACCGACCGGATGTTTGCGAAAACTCTAAACAACCACCGACATTGAGAGATATCTTGCAAATGGCAGTCGAAATTGCAGACGGCATGTCTTATCTCGCAGCGAAGAAATTTGTTCATAGAGATCTGGCTGCTCGTAATTGCATGGTAGCCGAAGATCTTACCGTGAAGATCGGTGACTTTGGCATGACGAGAGATATATATGAAACTGATTACTATAGAAAAGGATCCAAGGGGCTTTTGCCTGTTAGATGGATGGCGCCAGAAAGTTTAAAAGACGGCGTATTCACCAGTTTCTCTGACGTTTGGAGCTACGGAGTTGTTCTATGGGAAATGGTGACATTAGCTTCGCAACCGTATCAAGGCTTGTCAAATGATCAGGTGAATATGAATTTTCTTCAACTAAAATATTCTTTTCTTATTAGATACATTTCTCTAAATTATTATAATGTTCTAGGTACTGCGTTATGTAATTGAAGGAGGGGTCATGGAACGACCAGAAAATTGTCCCGATTCATTATACAGTTTGATGAGGCGTACCTGGAATCATAGAGCCACAAGAAGACCTACCTTTATAGACATTGAGACGCTGTTATTGCAAGAAGTTCATATAGAAGACTTTGAGAATGTTAGCTTTTACCACAGCCCAGAGGGGATCGAAGCTCGAAATCAAAATATTTCACATTCACCGCAAAATGACCAGTAAGAATAGCTTAATCTTGCAGAATCATTTAACAATTTGCTTAGCATGCTTTGTTACGTATTGTAGATATATACGAGTGTATATATATAATTTTATTAATTTTTTAAACAGAGATTTAGAAATGGTTGCTCTACAAAACTTGCGGGATGAAGAAATTGAGAGAGGAGAAGATTCGCCATTGCGTCAAGATTTTGGTGACTTTGCAAGTTTTGAACCTTGCAGTATTAAAAATAACTTGAGTCCTCGATATGGAACCGATTCTTACGGTGAGACATCCACTTCCAATTTCCATGACATGAATTCTTCAAAAGTACCTAAAGCTGGGTTCGACGAATTTGTTGGCGTTTCTGGAGATTCGCTCGTATCTAGTAAGGACACGTTGAATTCGCCTTTTGTGGAAGGCAGCCTTAAATCAGTCAGAAGCTCGCCTTTTATATATAAGAAAAGTACATCCCGCAGTAACGTAAGTCAAGGTTCCCTAGCAAAGTCTGGGAGTCCGCAAAGTTTAGTCAAGCGAAGTTTTCTCGATAGTCCAAATCTAACTATATCTCGGGGCGATCCTGATTATGAAAATCGGAGTCCCGAAACCATGTCAACTTTCGAAAAAAGGGAGATTACTCCATCGCATATAGAATTTCCATCTGTGGATGTTATGAACATTCAGATTAACGGTGATAAGAAAGAGAGCAAATGCACGAGCGATTACGCGAACAAATCGGGAACATTGAATAATGGTTACATTGGTAACACGGCTACGTAGCTTCAATGATATCCCTCGACGTTATCAGCATCCGACGCTAAAATTACATATGACAAATATGCGCAATTATATCCTTGGTGAGAATCGATATAAGTATTTCAACAAAAAGGCAGTGTCTGTGCCAAATTTATGAGCGTAGTTTTGAAAGAATCGCATTGAGCAGCGTTATATATATATGTATGTATATGTATATGTATATGTATATGTATATGTATATATATATATATATTTGTTACGCTACAATGCATGTTGGAAATGAGCAGCGAATATATTTATATCAGATACTGTCTTTTTGAAGTTATCGCTGTAGTGTTAATATAAAAAGATTTAGCTTATTAAAGACACCGTTATTGTGGAGTTACAAACAGCTGCGATTTAAAAGCCAGAAACCGTCTCTTCTTGAAATTGGGCCATACTTTTGAGAAACACACAGATATATACAGTTGACAACATGATATTTGCTAACAAGAATGTGACAGCCTCTCTCTCTCTTTCTCTCTTTCTCTCTTTTTCCTCATTAACTATCTAGCATGTAAATGTATGTTCAATTAAGCAGGTTAATTATTTGTATTATAGATTTTCTGTTTGATTTTCAAAGTCGCAAAGTACACTACTTCCACTGTAAGTAATAGTATATTTGTACAGTATCGGCTTATTTTTCTGAATTTATAAGAAATGTAATATAAACTAAAGTGGCAAATAGGTCGAGTACCGCGTTGGTAAGATATTTTGTCAACAGCAAAGAGATCACATTTTATAAATTTTGAAATTACGCGTAGTTGCCACTTTGCACGATTTTAGGCTTCGAACTCGTATATAGTAATATAGATTCGATATTTGTTGGAAGGTATGTGCGTAGAGAAGGTGATTCAGAATAAGAGTGTATCTATCGACTTGGCAAATATATATTACATCGCGTTCCTCTAATTTATAAATTTCTATTATATTTATGTATTCTATATACATCGTTTTAATGTTTTTGACTTTATTGTATTAGTTGAGATCTAATAATTCTGAATCCACTAATTAATGTTAGCTTTTACCACTGCCCAGAGGGGATCGAAGCTCGAAATCAAAATATTTCACATTCACCGCAAAATGACCAGTAAGAATAGCTTAATCTTGCAGAATCATTTAACAATTTGCTTAGCATGCTTTGTTACGTATTGTAGATATATACGAGTGTATATATATAATTTTATTAATTTTTTAAACAGAGATTTAGAAATGGTTGCTCTACAAAACTTGCGGGATGAAGAAATTGAGAGAGGAGAAGATTCGCCATTGCGTCAAGATTTTGGTGACTTTGCAAGTTTTGAACCTTGCAGTATTAAAAATAACTTGAGTCCTCGATATGGAACCGATTCTTACGGTGAGACATCCACTTCCAATTTCCATGACATGAATTCTTCAAAAGTACCTAAAGCTGGGTTCGACGAATTTGTTGGCGTTTCTGGAGATTCGCTCGTATCTAGTAAGGACACGTTGAATTCGCCTTTTGTGGAAGGCAGCCTTAAATCAGTCAGAAGCTCGCCTTTTATATATAAGAAAAGTACATCCCGCAGTAACGTAAGTCAAGGTTCCCTAGCAAAGTCTGGGAGTCCGCAAAGTTTAGTCAAGCGAAGTTTTCTCGATAGTCCAAATCTAACTATATCTCGGGGCGATCCTGATTATGAAAATCGGAGTCCCGAAACCATGTCAACTTTCGAAAAAAGGGAGATTACTCCATCGCATATAGAATTTCCATCTGTGGATGTTATGAACATTCAGATTAACGGTGATAAGAAAGAGAGCAAATGCACGAGCGATTACGCGAACAAATCGGGAACATTGAATAATGGTTACATTGGTAACACGGCTACGTAGCTTCAATGATATCCCTCGACGTTATCAGCATCCGACGCTAAAATTACATATGACAAATATGCGCAATTATATCCTTGGTGAGAATCGATATAAGTATTTCAACAAAAAGGCAGTGTCTGTGCCAAATTTATGAGCGTAGTTTTGAAAGAATCGCATTGAGCAGCGTTTTGTATACACGAGAAAAAGATGCTAGTATATTCTAGACTAACGAAGTTATAAGTCTATATTTTAAATGTTTAGATATGTAACTAAGAATTACTGGTCCTAAATGCAGACAAGTGGAGTTTCCTTATACGGGTGTTACTATGTCTTAATTCCGTCTCTCTAAATGTAATTAATATCGCTACGCGTGTACAGCTAATTAGTATATATATAATGTAAATGTATGTTCAATTAAGCAGGTTAATTATTTGTATTATAGATTTTCTGTTTGATTTTCAAAGTCGCAAAGTACACTACTTCCACTGTAAGTAATAGTATATTTGTACAGTATCGGCTTATTTTTCTGAATTTATAAGAAATGTAATATAAACTAAAGTGGCAAATAGGTCGAGTACCGCGTTGGTAAGATATTTTGTCAACAGCAAAGAGATCACATTTTATAAATTTTGAAATTACGCGTAGTTGCCACTTTGCACGATTTTAGGCTTCGAACTCGTATATAGTAATATAGATTCGATATTTGTTGGAAGGTATGTGCGTAGAGAAGGTGATTCAGAATAAGAGTGTATCTATCGACTTGGCAAATATATATTACATCGCGTTCCTCTAATTTATAAATTTCTATTATATTTATGTATTCTATATACATCGTTTTAATGTTTTTGACTTTATTGTATTAGTTGAGATCTAATAATTCTGAATCCACTAATTTCTCTGATTATAGTAGGAGAATTAAAGAGTAAGGATCTTTTCAAGTTGAGAGTAGTTTTCAATAGCGAATGTTTGATTGGTTTTGTGGTAAAGTTTGCAAAGAGTTTGTAGTCCCTATTATAACTATTTTAATCTTTTACAATTATGGCAAAATTTTAGAGGAAAACAATTAATGCATTTAAGTCTTTGTATATTCGGGATGGATATTATTGTATTTAAATATTTTTTAAAACTATCATGATGAAATGTTATGCTAACAATATTAATTTTTAGTGAACGGCGCCCTACTCTCGTTTCTCATTCTGTATATCTAAACAATCCAGCGAATGTAGAGATTCAGAAAAGCATAAAACAGAACTGCACTGTACGTTTGAAAAATTTCAGAGTCCATCAAGTCATAGATCGTACTTGACAATGCAAAAAAATCTATTTATCTATTTCGATATAATTTTCATCGAATTTAAATCATTTGAATAGCAAGAAAGCAATAAGTAACTTTGTCGAAATATCTTTTGTATCGTCATTGTCCTTCACTTTCTGAAATTTTTCCTGTATATGTGACATAATGTGACTTTGTGTCTATGTATCAGGTATGTGAAATTCTCCGCATTGCCTCCGTAATATCTTCCAAGAAGCGCATCTCACTACCAATATAGATATCACTATCTCGATATTCCTTAAAAAGCTTTATCGTGCAATTTTATAGTCATGAGTCTACCAGAGAGTCTCCATATATCTCGTGCAATAGGGTCGTCCACGCTATTTATGCTCCATATAAGCGCGACTAGTAGTCTATGGTGCCGCCAACATACAGAATATTGCGTCGTTCCACGAAATAAACTATGAAATTCCGAAATGTACACCATACTTTTTGATTAGAGACGAGAGAACGTAGACTGTCCTAGTGAGCCCAATGAAAAACAAGATTGATGACGGACGAGAAAATTGAAATGTAATCATTATTGCAATCGCAAGATAAATAATAGCGAACGAATCCTAACATGAATGAGCTAAAAAGAAAAAGTTATTATACGAGCAACGCAACGCAATGCAGTTGAGTCTATAGACATAACGAGCCTCTAACACAAGACTGATTAGCTAATCCCACTATTACATCTGTAATCTCTCTTAATAAGTTAAAGGTGCAAAACAAAATGGTAGAAGTTCCACGTTGTTCCATATCTGTAAACATCTTCCTTTTTGTTGGTTTATATTGTTTTTTTTTTTCCCATCTACTTTAAAGCGTATTGAAAATTCACTTCGAGATTTATTAGTGCGATCCGCGGTTGTTTCATTCTTTATAACATCGCGCATTTGGTGCATCATTTGTCGCTTTGGTTCGGCGGCTTATCGGAGCGTGTGCATAGAATAATATACGGGATATCTCCGAAGCTATTGCATCATTTTTCGTTATAAATTTTTCAACGAATTTGTATATGTGATGCAGATCTCTCTTTTTGACACGATCTAAAACGAAGAGAGGGATATTATTTTTCCTTGGAATTACTTAATATTTCCAATATTATTCGCGTATCCAATAAATCGCAAAACAGATTTCTAATTAAAATGAGACGAACAAGCTTTTATCATCTGTATTTGTTATTTTATTTTCCTAAATTTTATTTTGTTATTTAAATGTCATTTTCTTTCAAACTTTTCTGGAAGTTATTGCTACAAAAAAATTGAATCCAAACTGTGAAATTTTAAAGAAATATTGCATTAGTTTCGAGATAATCTGTATATCAATATCTCTAAAATACCAGTGATCTAATAACACAAGTACCTAATACAAGTGTAACGTTCTATATAATATCACACATTGGATAAAAATCGCGATATTGCGCAAAGATTGTACGAGCCCAAGATAATACCGGAAATATGAGAAAAAAATATGTAATACAGGAAAAATATGCGAAAAGGCGTAAACTTTGTAAGATCGTAGTCGTTGTTTCAGTTTCTCGTTCTCTTTTTTGGGGGGGAATATCTCTTTCCGAATTGTCTGCGTTTCTTTGTCAAATGAAAAAATTCTGTTTGCTATCAAAACGTGCCAAGGTGAGCGATTAGACATTTGTTTTTATTGCCGTTATTCATGCTCCGATCAAGTATACCGATTGTACGTCTTAACTTTTGACCGAATAATCGAAAATTGTGATCGCGTATCTTGAAGCTTTGCACCACAACGAGCCTTTTTTTATCTCTCCGACGATTTTGTTTGACAAATATAGATAAAATCCGTTTCTGTCGTTTAAAGAGAACTGGAATTCTTTTTGAAAGCAAAATATTTCAGTGCGCGAACTTTCAGAACGAAAGGTGAGAAATAATCAAGGTACATACAATTAAATTGAATTCTCCCGAAATTAAGAAACACGATTAATGACACAGATAAGCCGATCGGCCGATGTATCGTAATAATAAGCCTCGCTCGTATTCTGAAGTATTTAGTGTAATAACGAAATAAACAAGCTAATGCCTAGACCATGTAATATGTAAGTATCATAAGATCGACACGAAATGTTTCCTATATGGCCGCGAGCCTCCGTCTATTGTACGAATCGGCGCGCGATTGCTAATTTTAGGCCTACTACAGCGTGATAGTTCTGTAATATATTAGAATAATCTCCCTGGGGATTAAGGTAATACATAAGTATCTGGAGATTGTGTGTAACTATTATATTAAATGCAGAGAGAAAAGTGTGCCTGTCGCCGCGTATATTGATCGATTTAATGAATGTGCGATTCGGTACATCTACATCAACGATATAGAAGGAATCGAGAAAAATATCGGGTATAACGGATATCTAATTTTTTGTTTGTCGCAAAAATTAAGCGAAGCGCCCTGAACCCGATCGTGAATAATTAAAAAGTTCTCATCCACTGATCTTAGACTGACAGTAACTACTCATACTAAACACCGAGAAGCATAGAAATACTCCTCTTATCTTGATCCGAGTGTGTTTAATTTATTTTTATTTATCCTGTAAGAAAGTGATGGACGAATTTAGCGCAGTAGTAGCTCGAGACGTTATTAATTAGTTGATATTTGATGCATTTTTTGCACTTTAGGAAATATACAAACGACTCAATTCCTTTTGCAACTGATATCATGCCCGTTATATTTTGAAATCATTACCAACATCTCATGTATATAGAACCTGGGAGATATGTCGATTTTATATTTAAAAAAATATTTTGAGTTTTTACAACGCGCCCAATATTCCGTTATGCTAATTCTTTTCGTACGGATGAATTTTTACCATCTATATTTAATAAAAGGATTTTTCACATATATGATAAAAAAACTCGCGAGATTTCTTCTCCCATTATATTGCGACAATAACGATTTTAATTAATATTTCATGTGCCGGTTCTATTTAGAACCTTTCCTATTAATCTTAAATTCTGATTCTGTTCAGTTCCTATCGCGCACATTATACTATGTTTACACGCAATTAACGGATAAGATCTCTGATATTATATTGTATGCTAATATATTATACAAACTATTTATGTTCCGTTATGCTATATTCAGTCCATTTATTATTTTTCATTTTTTGCAAAATAAATTACTCAATTACATAAACTGCTCAATATTAGATTGCTCAAGTTCTGTAACAATCTAACAGTAAGATAGTACCATCTAATGACATAAAATGAATAATTATGGATCATACATTAATATTGCATTGCATAAAAATATAGGCAATCGCAAAATCCTTTTGTTTCGAATTATTTAATGAAATATTTCGTGCTATTTTACATATTTCGTACAATTTTATTTTTGTACAGCAATAAACTTTCAATAAATTTAGACCACGTTGGTAAAGTAAAAAGATGCATTCGAAGCTGATTCCAACTTTAACAAACTTGGGCTGTACCGCGCGTGTCAAGTTATTCAAAATAAAATGCACTTGCTCTTCGATTGCTGTTTAGATTTTTCAGAGAATAATCTTCATTTCACAATTTATCTCATTTCTGTAGTCGAGCAAGATATCTTTATTTATGAAATTAGTACATATATTGCTCTTATTTTGTAATTAATTACGATTTTATAAATTGAAATTTATTCTAAATTATTTGCAAAATTATTACCGTATTTTTTTCTGTATATATCCTCAGATTGCGTTAAGATGTGCTTTTTTTTTAATTATATGGAAACATGGAATATATATGAAAAAATATAACATATTCAAAGTTTTATCTATATTTATACTTTTTGTAATGTATATTAAGAAAATATTCACAAGAGAGCGAACTTGTTTAATGTGTCAATATTACATAAGATTGGATGCTCATACGAAAGATTGTTACCACATGATATGATCGTCAGAAAATTCTTGATATATAAAAAACATAATGTACAGTTTATATATACACTAGATGTTTAGAATAATTACCATTGCGTGTAACATTTCTATCAATTTTTTTTGCGCGGATTTTTGAGTTTAATCATTGAAATGTATTATTTTACATCTTGACAGTTTATAATTATCACAGTGATCAATTGTTTGCAAAGATTTAAAAAAACGAGATATCTTTTATACGCGTTGCCACAAAATTTTTTTCTTTTTTCATTAGAATTACGCACACTTTAGCATAGATGTAATAGTGTTCAATCATTCCTACCAAACATCGATACAGTTTTCTTTTTTTTTTTTTTAAGACTGTTATACGCGGCAACTGATATTTGCTGTTAATTGTAAAATACGTTTTCCGTGCCTATCCGCGTAGCTGACATTCGTAGAATATTTAATTATCTAAATAAATACATATATTTTATCGCTTCGCGCATAATACACACGCTATATTATAGAGATTTATTTTCAACAATTAGTCTACACAATAGAACGACAAGTTGAAGGCTATTTTGTTCATTCGAATGATAATATAATAAACGATTATTGCTGCCTTACGTCAGATCGCTATAAAATGTACTACTTGGCGTTGACTCAACGAAAGCTCAAACGATTAATTTGCGAAAATATAGTGAAAAGTGAAGTTTCATCTTGTTAATTTACGATCAGCTGTGATACAGATGTGCAAAGAGGATAAATTGGAAACCTTTCATTTCCGCTAGACTTCTCGCGCGCATCGATTCAACCTCTCGATATTTGTAAATAATAGCGCTTCGCTTAATTTTTTAGCAAACATGCGCAAATTTTACTCGACATATATATATATATATTTTTTTATTTTTTTATTTTGGGGCTATGAGACGTGTGTGTGCGTGGATGAATGTGAGAAAGTTTGATGAACATAAGTGTGTTTATAGTATATTAAAAATAAGACGCATCGATGCATATTACTCAAGATAAAAGGCATATGCATTTGTACAGAGCAGAGCTTTTCAACAAAGATCGCGAATGTGTAAAATACTTGTCGTCTCGTCGTCTTTACCACAAGATTAATGCCGAAGAATATCTTATCGTTGATATATATCGAGCTCTGTAGAGCGCCGAATGTGTATGCCGGTCCCTTTTGTCAATGATCATAGTCATTAGATACGGATTTATCAGTTTCCGATGCAGCGCGTTAATTAATCGCCCTACAAAAGGGCGAAGGAGGATACTAGATCAAAGAGAGATTAGCCTAATATCCTCTCGCATAATTGTGCGATGAATACACAACCGTAACGATGTGCGAACCGTTCGGCGCCACGACGAAGCGATGTTACGATCCAGTTTTGAAATGATACAAATTTTATAACACGCACGCGAGAAAAAGAATTAATTAATATATTTACAATTAATATTATTTAATGTAAAGCCAGACATCGAGAGATTAGAGATCGATTTTAACAGGATGATTTTTGAAACGCCCAGACTCGCGCATTTCATCGTTTCCAAGTTTTTGCGCAAAACGACTCGTACATCTCCGCGATTATTTGAGAAATGCATTTAAATATTACGCGCACCACAAGACGAGAGGCAAACTATTTTCTTAGAGATTCTTTCGAGTGATGAGCACAAATGTCAGTATATTTTTCCCTCTTGAGTTTACAAAACAAACTGCCACTGCCGTGACGAAAGAGAATCCTCCGAGAAGAGGTAGAAGAGAAAATAAAAACAAAAAAAAAGATACGCTATGAATAAAACATAAACACTCCCTTCCCCCGCTTCGAGACATCAATATCACGGAATTGAATCCTCGTCTCGCGAGATAGGTGTCATCTTTCGTTATTCTCGCTTCTACGCGACGCGGCGCGTATCGCGTAGTCGCTTGTGTACTTGTATAAGTTTGCGCGTCGCCGTCACAGCGTTATTGTCGAGAATAATTTCGCGAGCGATTTTCTGTACGGTGTACGGTGCGATAATAGCATAACGAATTATTATAGCGTTTTTTAGCGAGAGCACTAATGCGATTTTAGCGAGGCGTTGTTTCTTTCTAGATTGATTAGAGATAATTTTTATTCGTATAGCGCGATGAGAGATGTGACCTCTGTTTTTATTAAAATAAGTTACAAAGTTAAAAATTGTATTTACTATTATATATAATTATACGATACACACATGCGCGCTGTACGCAGAGGAAGAAACAGATTTTATTTACCAAATACCAGTTTTTTAATAAAAATCTTTTTGTGAAAGAAAAATATCGGACTCATTACTTTACGAGAGGTTGCCATCATATCTCTTCACCGTACAAATCATATCCGATGAGCTTGTAACAAATTTACGATAGCATGTGTATACATATATATAAATAATTAAAACGGTAAGATAATTAATACTACGAGTTATATATTGTTATGCGATATAAATAATAACTCGTATTAATTATGTTACCGTTTTAATTATTTATGCTACTGTAAATTTGCGCATTAGTGTATCCAACCAAACTTGCTATTAAAATTGCCTGTTTTTAATTAGGAGAACGAACTGTTTCAAATGGACCGTTATACAAATCGATGATCCGTAACATAAAAAGATAACACAATCGCAAATAATCGCATTCGATACGATAGCTCGTCCTTCATAGTTTCATGATAATTTGACTTGACACAACTTGGCAAAGAAGCATGACGTTTAATTTCTTGATTACCTCCATGTAATCGAGACGCTCCACTTTCGCGATGAACTGCAAGAGCTTTTATGCAAGATGAGAAATCGATTATACTATTATATCTGCAGCTTCGTCTTGCTCGTGATATTACAACCGATTTCTCACGCGAAGCTCGTCGACGATACTCGCAGGTATTGACAGTACGTGATTTTTCTTCTTAAACCATTCCTGCAGTATCCGTCTATTCTCGCGCGATCGCTTATGGGTTCGACGATTTTTTCCGCTTGTTTCTATCATCCTCTTCGCAGATGAAATATTCGATAGATTTTACGTCGCTTAGGAGATTACACCTTTCCAGAACGAAACGAGAGGTATCCCTTGCTGAAGTGTCACAATCGCGAGGAAACGCCAACTACGAGAGAGAGGTAAACTTGGAGCGCGAGGAAAGGAGTAATGGTGATCTTGAAAAGGACGATACGTATCACCGAGAGAAACGTAAGATCTCGAAGAGATCCGCAAATCCCGATGTTCAACAATCAAACGCCGAAAAATCTATCGATCCTATAACCAATCAGCTCAGTTTGAACGGAGAATCGGATTATGCGGAGGAAGAGGCGGGCGAAGAGATGGCGAAACAAGAAAGCGATAAAGACGTAAAGACGAGCGATCTCAAGCGTTTACTCCGTGACGTCAATGTCGAGAAATATACCGATCAAGACGAGAGATCAAGTCTGTACGACGACTACGAGACGAAGGACGTCGCGAAGCGTGGTATCCTGGATGGTCCAGGGGATTATGAGGAAGTGGAGGACGATTCACCTGGGATATTGGATGATACGGTCGCGTTGGAGGAACGAGACCAAGGAGAGAGGAGAGAAACACGAGAGAATGAATCTCGGGTGAAGAGAGATCAAGCGCTTTCGGAAACGTTTGATAAATCCGAAACGAGCAATCCAACGAAGTTGGAAGAGCCGAAGATCGCGGAGAATCCTTTGACGGGCAAAATTTCTCTCGCTGAATCGTCGAAAAACTTTAATCGACGAGCATCGGCGTCCGGTGACTTAGCATCCGAGATCAAAGAATCCGGATTGAACGAGGTGATTCCAAGGTCGAGCGGTTCTACCGAGAACAAGGAATCAACGAGTGTAATTACTTTGTCCAACGGAGACGAGTCGAGCGCGGAATACGGGAAGCGCGTGGAGGAGGAGATTCAACGGAAGATCGATTCGATCAAGGAGGAGATCAAACGTGACATCGAGGCGCAGCGGCGAATAAGGAATGTCGAGGAAAACAACGCCAGGTTCGATGAGTTGCGGGATCAGGAAGAGGATGAGGAGAGACAGAGCTTTGAGGGTGAACCAATCGAAAAGCGTCAGATAAAGAGATCGATACGAGAAATCGCCGCTGCTTCTTTCTCGAAGAGAGACGATAAGAAACGCTGCTTGAAGGGAGAACGACGTGATAAGCTGCAACGTCGGTCCAGCGAGATCAGCAGACCGGATACTTTGAAAGAAAGCGAAAATCTGAAGAAACGATTCGCGATTAACCGTGATAAATCCTCCGGAGGACAAGCTCCTTCGAAAGGACTTTTAAAAAAGAAACGCGAGCGCGTCAGGCAAACTTTTTTGGTAAACAATGATCGGACAAAGAGAAGACGTTCGAGAAGTTACGCATCGCCATCTGATCGGACGGCCGCCAGACCGGAAAATGAATTATTCACGGATTTCAATTCTTATCACCATGCGGACGATGGAATGGTAAGGCTCAGCGAAAATCGAGAGTTAAACCGAGTAATTATTTTCGCGAAATAATTCAGATATACAATCATGCATTATTAAAAATTAGTATATTATACTGCACATCTTTATCTTAGAAATAATCTCAAAATATTTTATACTGGTAGAAACTGAAAAAACGTAATGATTCTACACAAAAGGATAAGTCAAAAATTCGGAACAAATTTTATTCTATATTTTCGACTTAAATTTTTAATATAGAATTATATTTATACGAGATATTTTGTATATATATATATATAAAATAAATAACACGAAACTCTATCGCAGCTACAAGCATCTTCGTCCATCGCCGGCGAAGATGAGAGCAATGACGGAGAACAGAGTCCTACAGTAGAACATTCAAATTCCTTGGCGTCTCTCACTGGGAGTTCGCAGGAATTGAGTCCGCGTTTAGCAAGAGAGTACAAAGAGGCCTTCGGTGGATTGCAGAGTGAGCCTGGCGGTGCTCTCGCTAGATTTAAAAGGATCAAACGCGTACTCGGTGGTCCTGATACGAAAAATTAAATTTTATCTCTCATAGAGAATAAAATGGAACAAACCACTCTCTCTCTTTGGGGTGAGAATATTTCCATGAATTGAAATTATCACGAAAGATACAACGTAATTTTCCGAACTTCTATCGTCGCGCAGTAACGAAGGACTAAGTAGGAATATAAGACATATATAGACCTTTTTTACGAAACGAAATATTTATAGATCTTTACGAGAGAGCAGAATGATGCATTTGTAATTAGAGAAAGGCTATAGCTTATAATATAGGGTATAATGCCATTAATCACGAGACACTCGGAGAGATTGCGAGTCGGTTTAATTAAGTAGCCTAAATGAACGAGATATATATATATATATAAATCCTTGACAAAAGTGGATAACTATGTTATCTACCGCTCTAAATTACTTATAAATTTTATTTCTTTACGCCGGCCGTGTGTGTAACACGTCAAAAGATATAAAACGAGTTTTGAATTGCTTCTCTCTTCGGACGCTTCTCTTATACAATCTTAAAATATATTACAAGCTATTTAAAAAACATCTCGCAAAGTAAACTGCACAATCTCGCTAACATTGCTTGCGCGCGCGATTGCATACGCTTTGCGTACGCGCGCGCGTGTCGTTCCTCCAGTAATTCATTTAACTTTATTTCGATAAATTTTAATTTATTAACAGACAATAAAATTCAAATCAATCAATCGATCATTTCCTTAACTTCCGCGCGCACACAATAGTATATGCTAGAGAAACATTATGTACAACAGTGACTCATCGATCGTCGGAAGGCGTTCACTTATCAATTATCACCATAGACCAATTCGAGAACCTGAAGAACGCGATACTTTAGAAACGCAGCGCATATAAGTCGATTGACTAAGTAAGTATAATGAAAATTGCGCCAACAAAGAGAAGATATTAATATTTCAGTGTTGGAATAACCGAACGATTTATTTTGCATGTGTGACTTTGGGATAGAAAGGCAAGAATTTATCATAAACGTTCGATACATTCTATGAATATTTGTCTCTCTCTCCGCTTTGTCGTATAATTATATCGATTGTCATAATTCTAAGATATGAATGCATAACATAATGCAAGAAACGGAGCAATAATATCCATCTTTTTATTTCGTAAAAAAAGTGCGCATATATAAGCGAATAATCGTCGCGTTCTCCGGGTTACCTCTTATTGTTAGCGCCAATCGAGATAAAGAGAGAGAGAGAGAGAGAGGTATCTAGGCAAAAGACACAGACGCTTCGTAGACGTTCAAGATTTAATTAATAAACGTTATTACGATTAAACACGAAGAAGACACATAAATCGTTAATCGTCTTTGTTTTTTTTCTTGTTGTGCGCTTACATATTATGGACGCCGGAAACAGGGATGTGATGCACGCCAAGTGATGCCCGCACGCCCGTAATATCCCCGAATCATACGCAATTCGCCTCTCTCCCGTTCCGTATAATCGTTCTACTTTACAACAATATAAAACAGTTATTTACATCGACGGCTAGGAGGATTCGAAAACGATGAGAATGTCGAGGGAAAACTTAGACGTCTAAAGATTTTCCTCGTCTAAATGAGTGTGCGTGTGACATGTACGTGTGAAAATGAGCGTGTACGTCTCTTTCGAGTGGTCTTTTCGCGAGGCATCGTTGCGAACTGAAAGGAAGATATATCCAAATGACGTGGAAATCGAAACGAGATGATTCTCGCGAGAATGTCTACATCTTTCCGAATGAAATCAATGTGTCGTCAAATGTATATCGTTTGATCACACTTGATTAATCGACTTATATTTAACATCGTGACTTTATAGAGACGATATTTTTTTCGAGAGCGCGAACTGACTTTCGTGACGCGCTAAAGGGCACCGCGTTTGATTGACCGTTAATTAATTAGATCGCCGTGAATATCGGTCTTATGACAAAAGGCTCGGGTCGGTGAAACGCTCAGGCACCGATCGATTTTGAGAAAACCTCTTTTTTTTTTTTTTACTCGTCAAACTTGTCCGTTGTTATCGAACATTGAAAATTAATCGAGAAATGACGGTCGAGATCGAATATATCCGCGGAACAAAATCAACTCTAATCAACATGCACGAACCTTGATATTTGCGAAAACCGGTCTCGAAACATTGCTACATCATATGCGCCGAATCAATGTGTGTATGGAGAGATTCCGAGAGATATATTTTTATCGGCGCACATGAACACCGGGATCGCATAAATATCCTTGCGAATGAAACGCGATTGCGAGATGCGACATAGGTGTTACGCATAACCGGCACGAGCTACGGCAAATAACGTGACGGATTGGCTTGGTATTTAGTGTGTGTCGAAAGAGCTCTTTTCTTTTTTATTTAAAAAAATCGATGTCTGAGAAATGGTGTTCACAATAATATAGTACAACAACGTAACGGTATTACATATAGGTAATATATATATATAAATTTTATATTTATATAATAATAGGTAAAATTCTTCTTTACCACAATATAACATGGCTATATACAAATATTACAAATTTCTTTCATTTAAGCCCTCGACGCTGCAGGATCGATCTGGCGCGAGACTAGGCAGCGACGCTTTTCCAAATTCGCTGCTTATTTTATCTTTTTTAATTGCACGTTACAACAGGCTTGCGATTTTATTAATCTTAAGCCAATCTCTCCTCCCCTCAATGCGATTAAACAGAGAGAGAGAGAGAGAGAGAGATGAGGGGGGAGAGAGAGAGAGTGTGAGAGAGGGAGAGAGAACAGTTTTGTCTTTAGGATTTGTATAGAAAAAGAATGGATGATATAAGAGAAAAGGGACGAAACGGAAAAAATTATTGAAAAACTTAAAGTGTGAAATTTTGAGGGATGCAGGAGGGGAAACAGAAAGAAAGGAGAGACGTTAGATCCTATTTCAGCTTCGTATAGCACGAAGTGAAAATATGAATTTACACGTTTATGCAGAGGATACTTTGGTCGTGCTACGTTCTATCATAGTTTCATCGATCTTTTTGATTAGATTAAAAAATGCGAGTCGACAAAGACCTCTTCTCACTTTCTACTCTTGAAAAAAGATTCGCCTTTGAAAGATTGATTTGTCAACATACACACAGTTCAAATTGTAAAATGTGTTAAATATATAAAACATAAAGTCAATTGCGGGATTATACATTCGCGTTCCGCCTTCGAATTTCAATGCGTCAAAAGATGACTTGTATCGATCCGTATCACGCAGATGCTAAAGTTATTTTAATTGCCATTTACGAAAAATTAATCTTTTTTTTTTTTATACGTAACGTGCATCCCCAGGGATCGTATATCTTCTCGAATTACGAGTAATTTGAGATAAAAAAGTTTTTCCTTGTGGCAAATCAAATTTTATTGTAAACCAGACATTTTCTCTCCGACATTTGATACCAAATATTTGCTAAGAAAACAAAATCAGAATTTATCAGGGGATCTATAAGCGAGAGAAGATACGCGATGCTTTCTGAGAGCACTGTGTCTTCGCGCAGCGATTAGAGAAAGAGAGAGAGAGAGAGAGAGAGAGAGAGAGAGAGATCATAATGTAAAAACATGTATAACTCGCTACAATCTTTGAAAGGCCGATAACTCCATATAACTATTACAGTTACATTCTCACTCATTAAGATTAATGCGAGCTAAAATGAGTGCTATCGGATTACTTATCTCATTTCACAATCTCTAAAATGATCTGATGAAATACGCAAGTTTAACGTACATAATATGTTTGCGCGATTAGAAAAGCAGTTGTTTTGCCAATCTTTAATTCCGATAAAAAAAATAGTACTTATTTAAGTAAGCGGGTCAAACTAGCTGCGAAATCACACGCAAATATTGCAAAACTATTTATCTTCGTGTTCCTTTTTCTTAATATCGGATTAATACATCCAAATAATTTTTATTTTACTTTTTTTCTCACACATTTGATTACATTTTCACTGAGTAAGTTCTTCTGAATTTTAATTATAGTTGGAATAAAGTCAACTTATTTAACGACTTTGATCGTTTATAACTTTTGATAAAAGTTATAATGTTTTTAAACCGAACAATCAAGTCATAATTAATTTATTTCTAATCAAATTAAAAAAATAACAGTTGTACTAGTGGTTTCCACGAAAAAGATGTATGAAAGTTGTAAAAAAAAATAATTTTTTAAATTCATACAATAAAATCTTTAATATAACAAAAAATGTGTGCAGAGAAAATTATCTACTTAAAAAAAAAAAAAAAAAGTTTTGATATATTTTAATTATTTTCAAGTGCATTCGCCTTCTTAATTGAAGACTTCGCGTGACACTAAATTCGTTTAATTGATAGCGCAACGATTAACGCGGTATCTCACGTGATTCTTTTTCCGTTATGTTTACCGTTGCACACTTTATCCTTTGCGTCTTGAAAGCTTCGAATATCGAAAAACAGCAATGTTCCGCGCCAGATACATGTTAGATACAAGATAATAATAAACTTGTCTTCTCCTTTTCCGAAGATGTTCCACAAATTAAGATTCTGCGCTTTTCTTTTTTGTTTCCTTTCGTTTTGATACGATGACAATGACAAATTGACGTGAACGATCTTGGTTAACATTTAACTTGGTTTAAACCTTACGTTAAACGACCGACGATCATATACATACGTTTATATTGCACGATTATGAGTCAATAGAGCACGATCTTAAAATCTATGACGAATATCTACGCGCTTTTGGCACCTCTTGCGTTTGCTTATACGCGGACGAAACTTTGCGAGTAAGAGAGAGAAAGAGAGAGAGAGAGAGAGAGAGTGAATTTCATCTACTACGATAAAACTTTTGGATATATCGATAATTTAAAAACTCTCTGGTGGTCACATTAATCACATTTTAAATATGTAAAGATTATCATTAAGTTAGTTTCTTCTCCGTCAAGAGAGGTAACGCTCTCCGCGAGATTTTTCGTTTTGCGTAAAAAAGCTCTCGTAGCCACGAAGTGAGCGCTAACCGATAGCGAGAATGTGTGAGAAAAGAGGGATTCTCTCTCCGTTACACTTCGCTACTTACCAGAACTTTTTTAGCACCGAAAGAAAATTCCGGGCACATTTATCATTCATTGTAGACGGAAGATGATCTATATTTATAAGATATGAATGTGTGTGTACGTGTGTTATTTAGCGATAGCAAATTTACCTATTTCTCATTTTACGTCCGTTCAAATTTCAATCTATTTTTAATGTAGGATGAAATAGAAGATGTGTATATAGAAGTATGCACTCGATTGGCCACCACAGGCTACGCTACTTCTGCAGATTTTCGCAGCCAAATTCCGCAATGCTAATCGCCTACATTGTGTCTTTATCTAGAACGAAGAACTTTGAATGTTATCGAGAAAGGTATGATACGCTAATCACAACATGCATAGACGTAAGGGTCGTCTTCTTGATTTTATCGTCGTTATCTTAATCTCGCGTTCGATTAATTATCGAACACGCGCGTATAAAGTATAGTATATTACTTTCAAAAAACAATTGACAAAATCGCCGAGGGTACACGCATTATGACATTTCTCTTCCTACTCGTTATTATCACTGCATTTACTCGCAGCAAATATATTAATAATCAAAATGATAGTTATAAGTAATCTTCAGAAAATGACAAATATAGAAATGATTATCAATAACAGGATTGCACACCTAGAGAAACGTATGGGATAAACCTGTTTCTGAAACTCTTACGTAATTTCCTCATTGAGATTGCCTTTGAATTTCTTCGACTTATTGTTAGCCAGCTTCAATATCACAGATTTGATATTTGTAATTTTCGATGGAGAAAAAATTGAGTCTAAAAATTTGCTACAATAATACACAATCCTGTATTATCTAATCTAAACTAACTCACTATTGTATCGCGAACACGATATTAAGGGAGAAAGAGGAGAAGTAAAAGGGAAAGAATTCCCTACAGCTAGACTATGCACTGTTAACGTAAATGTTTATGATCATAAGCTGCTACTCGTAAGGATATAATAAGGAAAAGGAAAGAAAAATCTAGATTACTGCTGGCGTGTACCGCCGATAGGCATCTCCCTCCTCTCTCACTTCTATGTCTTTATGCGTTTTTTTTTTTTAGTACGTTCCTTCGTCGAGGAACGTAATTGATCGTAATATTCTCTAAACTTTAAATTGGCCTAAACGGTAGATTACTTCACTATATAATTGCATTATGATAAAAGCATGTATAAATCAGTAAACATTTTCTTTTGTGCTTCTTAGAGATCATACATGATACAATATACAAAGTAGTGTAAAATAAAAAAAAGGGTTAATAAAGATTTTTATATATTACTTAATCGTCAAGTAACGGTTTATCACGAGCGAGAGACAACTTTCATTGGCCACTGACCTGTTTCCAGAAAACATCGCGACAGATTTTTTTTGTGTTCAAATATACTATATCGATAAAAAAAAAAACAATGCAGATCTTCAAATCTTTATGCATGAGTCGCGCGATAAAAAAAAATGCGCGCCATTAAACGAGAAAAAACATTCGTATAAAATCTACATATATATATAAATTCATATGCTGTATAAATAAAATTTACTAATAAATTTATTATTTATACACATATCTTGACACGCGCTATTGATTCCCTGCAAATTTGTCAGTGCCCAAGAAGTATCCCAATATGTCAAAGTGTCTTAAGAATTAATCGCGACACCAGGACAGAATTTATTTTATCCTATACAATAGTCGATACGGGAGTGTATGTGTATGTGTGTGTGTGTATGTGTGTTGGTAAATGAGTAAAATCTCTTCCCTTAAAGTCGATCTAACCTAAAGTGGGCTTCGGCGCTGGAATCCGATATGACCATCGTAGGGTCGGCGAGCATTTGTAAACCGTCCACGTCGATTGGATCGAGGCCCTGTCTGAGGGCGTCGTCCGATGGGAACATTTCCGGGTCAAAATCGCCCATCATCGCTGTACCTAGATCCTTCACGAATTCCGGATTTGTGAGATCGTCCGCACCGGAGAAATCTGTAACACGGTAGTTATCGAGATTCCATCACCATTTCATCGAATTACACACATTTGAAATTGTTTACGGAATTGAAATAAATCGTTATCCTTTCACTTTTTTTCGATGAAAGCATAAGCTGCGTTATACATAAATGTATTAAATATTCTTTACGGATAAAAATCGGCTTTGAAATATTATCGTAAAAAAGAAAGTAATGCCTTATTCCGAGAATAATGGATAAAACGAGCAAGATATTTTACGTCTCTTGTCACGCGGCCGCGTAATTAAAAAATTCATCGCACGTCCACCGCGGGGAATATACCTGTGAGAATGATCGTAGGTGTGTTTGGAGTTTGTGGTGTGAGCTGCTGGGTAGCGGTGTTCGTCGTCGTTGCAGGTTGATACGCCATTTGCGGACTCGTGCTGAAGTACCCCGCGTCCCCGCTGCCTAATTCGCCACCGACATTAATCATGTCGTTCTGAGAAACAATCAACGTGAGGAATTTAATAAATAAATAAAACATGTACGGGCAAGAAAAGAATGCTTTTAACGGTCTCTTTTTCTGAGAGAACATTGTAACATCGATTTTACGAGACATACCTTGATGATTCTTCTCACCTGTGTGTAATTCGTAGTATGATTCGGTGATCCGATATACGTCCCGATCGTGTTCGCCTGCACCGGCGTGTCCATCTGAAGTAGAGAAGAAAAAAGGAAGAAGGTCGTGGATGAGCCTCGTATAATTAAAAAGGCGGAAATTATAGCTGTTACAGTCTAATCAGATTTGTTCTTTAACGCGTTGATTCATCTCGCGTGTAACGTGACGTCCCTTATAAATGCTTTTTATAGAACGACATCGCGCACGCGGGAGGGAAAATAACGGAAGAGGAGTATAAAGGGAGAAATACAAGTACGATCGAAGCCGGTGAACACTCGGTACGCGCGCTCGCTCCAAGTCTCCGGAAGATCACCGTTATCTTCTCCTCGACTTTGGAATCCATTACGGCATTAGTTACGGTTCGATTTCCGGATACTTCGTTTCGCTTAATAGCCTTTGTCAAATGAAATCCCCTTTCGCTTAGCCGACATCCGGTAAGGAGCTTATTACTTCATCCTACACACGTATATCTCCGTTATTTCACATTTTCACCTGACCGAATTTATTCGTCTAATATTTATCCCGAAATTTTCGATTCTTCCTCCAAAGAGAGAAAAATGATTTATCTTTGCTGTGATTATACGAAACGATATTATAGATAACGATTTTGAACAATCGATGATTTGCGCGGATAAGGCTGTTTGGCTTCGAATTAATGTTTTTTTTTTTATATCTGTCGTAAAATATCGGCGTGCTTTTCATTCCTCTATTAAGCTGACGGGCTCGACGCCATTCGCGTTAATATCAAACGCCACGGTAACGGCCACTTGTGCGTGTAACTGCATGAGGGAGCGAAAAGAGGGTATCGCGTTAAGGCCTCGCGTCCGTGAAACTGGTCCTTCTGAAGCGCAGCACGCACGCGATATAAACGCATATTTCGCTATATGTGCATACATAAGAACGCGTTTCCGGGTCGGTAGGATATCGCGATTATTATTATTATTAGCCTACATTCTTCTAATAAACATTTTATCAGGAGTTTGCGCGATTATAACGCATTTTTCCCGCCCGCGTTACGAACGGCTTCATTTAAAATATTCTCTCGACGCAGTGAAATGTTTTAAACATCAACGTATATAATATATGTACGTGAACGCACGCACATTGAGTATGATATCTCATTGTGAGAGTAATATTTTCACTTAATCCGTGAATATATATTTCATCCTGGATCTGACATTTCTCCTTCGTGCAGTGCGAGTTTCACGCACGAGAATATATTTGACGCGTGCATATTCAACACCATAGTATAAAAGCACCGTGAAAGGAACATGGTATTTAAGAATTCGCAGTTTTTTTTTTTATACCAATTAAATAGCGTGTATAAAAAACAGTGTATTAATCATACATTTCTCTTTTTCTCTCTCTTAAGATTTAATAAATAAATTTTAAATGTTAAGAAAAACAATGATTCTCTATGCTCGATCTTTTATATAATTACATATACGATTATGATTACTAATTTTATGACTCGGAGAATCTTGCTTTTTGCGAGAGCCTTATATAAAGAAGTATACGATAATGCCGGGAGTTATTTAGTACTGAACTTGCATAAATAAAAATGTTTCAACTAATGGCGATATTTCACCTCTATCTGCGTGGTCCAGGTGCAACCGAGTTCCATCAGCTGTTGCGCGAATTTCGGCCACTCCTGAATTATGAATGCAGGCAACAGATAAACAGCAAGACTTAAGACATAAGTCTAGAGGTCTTAATATATAATCAAACGTAATTAGCCGTCTTTCTTTTTTCATAATAAAGCTAGTTTCAATGAAGACCTATTCTTAGATGCAATACTTTCGGCCGCGATCCTAACTAATTATGATTTATAATTAATTTCATATTAGATGTATCTCTCTTTCTCTCTCTCCCGTTAACTAAAAAAAAACGTGAATCGTAATTTGACGCTTTAAAAAATGGAAGATTTGACGGTGTAACTGAGTAGAATATCAAGTGACTCCGTGTAGGAATAATTCATACGAATCATTCGCTTGGAATAATTCATCGTTTAGCATTAATTATAGCTTTGAAGGTCAAATCTCGCCTGAAGAGGAATAATGTTGGAATTCATGAAACTGATCAGCTTGTAAGCGGTGACTCGAAAAACTGTATGTATTCCATGCAAAAATATTTATTACATTACTAATGTATTAATTGAGATATGTAAATGAGACATTTATGAAGAGAGCGTGTTAAATTTAAGATTGTAAAGCCAATTGGAACATAATTTTGTAATTCCATCTCAAAATTTCGATAAATGTTATCGTGATATGTATTTGAATTTGTGTTTTTTTTTTTTTTTCATCCCATGCTATACTTACCAGTCCCTTCGACATGCATAAAAAAAGATTGAGCGCCAATTAAGATCGGGTATCCTTTAATTAGTTATAATTGATGGATGTAGTTTTTATATAATCAAGATTGCCGCGATAGAATCACAGAGGGGGAATCAGAGAGAATTATATATTTTTAGCGTGCTCGTATCTCGTTGCTCGAGCAATCGGAGTGAAAAAAAATTCATTACGACGATCTCCCGATTTGAAAGTATCGATTGCCTTTATCAGCAATATTGACATGAAACGTGAGTTTTTATGACGTTACGCTCGTGTGGTCGCGTGTATACCTATTACAAGCGTTATAGCATGCAGAATGCTCTCTCTCCCTCTCTTTACGGAAGCCTGAATGTAATTATGCGCGCTGCAGCACCGTGTAAAACGTGCAGCACGTGCGTCTTACGTTCCAACCGCGAATATAATGTAAGATAGACGGATACAGACAAAGTCTAGCTAGTTCTCGTAGACTACACGCGTCGAAAATCTCGGAACGATCGTTTATGAAGACAGGCTGTCTCAGAGAAGACGGGAATTATACGAGGTGAGTCGAGAAATATAATACGACCGAAAAGGGGATGATTTCTCTTTCAAAAGTAAGTCGAATATATAGAATAAAATTTTGTCATACGAGGCATCGTTTTTGAAGAAACCAAATTGAAAAATTAAAGGCACACATGTACGCTTTTTTATTTTTGAATGACTTTGTATTATACATTATCAAATTTATCTCGATAGTAGTTATAAAAACATGTATTAAAAAAATAGAATATTCTCTCTATCGAAAAAATAAAGTTTATTTCGGCATTTTATAGATATAACTTCTGCAATAACTTGAATTGTTTTAAATTATTTTATTAAATGGAAAAATGTATTTTTATATTTATATTTGAACAATATGATGTAAAATTTTTAGAAATCACATTGAAGCTTAAAAAAGTATTATTAATTTAAAAAAGTATTATTGATTTTCCAAATTAATTTTCTCATACAATAAGATTTTATTCTACATTTTCGATTTATTTTTGTACTTTTCGGTTATATTACTTGTCCCGATTCATCGAACCTTCCTTATCTATGACAAAGCTTCGATGATAAAGATAAGAATGTCGAATGTACAACTGGACCACTGGCTGACGTGTCGATCGAATATTCGCGATAGCTTAAAAGAGAAAGAAATTGTTTTTTTTCCTGAATAAGACTGTCAAGCGAGACAATTTAAATTTCATGAAGCTTTAAAAGATGGCAACTGTCAAACACGCTCTATATAAAAATTGAAAAGTTACTTTCGCGCGGAGATGTTCGTTCACGTGACACCTTTCGCGAACTCAAATAGATAAGTCAGTCCCTCTTTAGTCATGCTTAAATAAATAAATCGCTCACGTACCATTGTGAATTGTTCGAAATCCTGTTGAAGGGCGGCCGCTTGCGCCTGATTGATGAAATAAGTATTCTGATCGATAGCGTCAGACGTCAAGCTGGGCGGACCCGGATGTCCTGTAGGACTAGGCGGCGCCGATGGATTATTGCTATAACTTAAGGGACTTCCCTGAAACAGAAAATGCACGTTGCTCTTAGATTTGTCGCAAAGAACCATACACACTACAATAAAGCTTATCTCGTGAGATTAATGGAATTAAATCATACAGTTACTTGCATTTATTATTTTTAGAGATTAGTGCAATCTATCAATGACTCGAAACTGTTGTTGCAATATGTAATAATCTATCAATATAGAGTTTATATGTACGAGATGATCTCTCACTTGAACTGTTAGACTAGGTGACGATTGCGGCGAGGGCCTGTTCACCGGCTGCGTGGATCTGTACGATCCCAACGAATTGAGCTGTTGTTGTGATTGTTGCTGCGCCTGTGACGTTTTCTGTCGGGCATTAACAAGAAATTATAAATGATTATTAGCAACAGTTACTTCTAAATTTTATAATACAATAATATCAAAACTAATAGTACGTTATATAACATTTTTCTATATATCTTGAATCGATAATTTTTTCAAAAAAATAAAAATAAAAAAAACTCAAACTTTTTGACCAACATATAATTGCCAGCAAATGTCAAGTATCTTTTAGATATGTAAAAAGAACCGCAGTAGGATACGATAGACACTTGTGTCTAAATACTTTGTAATATAATACCGAGTATTATTTGCAGACACACACACACAAGAAAGGTAGAAATTTTCGAAACGATCGATACTAACTGGACTTTGCGGCGGCACAGGACTGTGCGATTGTTGATAAATGTAGTGGCCGGCAGTCGGGCTGTGAGACGTCGCCGTCGGCGCCGGTTGCTGTGGATAGCTCTGAAGATCCTGTTGCGAAGTACTTGTGCTGTTTTCCAGTGCCACACCCTGCTTCATACCCATCGCTATTAACGATCGATCGTCGCTCTGTCGCCTCTTTCATTTTGCTCTCTCACTCTCTTTCTCTTTTTTTTTTTTCTCGCGCTTTCGCATAACTAGACTCAACTCGATAAACGCTACATAGTCGCAGCAGGCTCGCGATAATCGATCTCTACGTCGTTGATTACAGCATCGGACTTGCGGAAGCGGTTCGCCGCGACAACCGAGTTGCTCTACTAAATTGGTAGCAAACGATTTGGGCACACAATAGTGAATTTTGAAAGGAGGCTTAGATATTCACAAACTCTGCTCGCTTCTGGCGATCGAGAAATGATAACGTTTCGAGCACATACGAGCTGTTTCGGAATAACGGAAACTCTAAACCACGAAAAAGATACGTTCCAGGAAAATGTTCCCCGAAAAAGAAATTCGAAAGTCCTTTTTAAGGGAGTCGCTTTCTTAAAGTATCTATACTCTCGATCGCCAAAACACGTGGCATCCTACAGAGCCAATTATACCGTTAAGTTATGACGCAAAAATGAATAATTTATGTAAATGCTACAATTACGTTAGAATTATCTGTGTGCAATACTTATCTCTTCCTTCTATCAAATCACAATTATCGCAGCATTATTTTCTGTTTCGCGTTTATTTTAGGACCCGTTGCGTTGGCGAACCGATGTTGTATACGCCGGCTATATATGCGTCAGCATACATGCGTTTCGCGCTATTGATTATATTTCGATTGTTTATCTGCAAGCTCGGTGCTATAACAAGCAAAAAAACAGTAAAAAACGTCGACGGCTTTTTGAGGGCCATCGCGCGACTAAGAGGCAGCAACACAAGCGTAATACCATTATATTACATACGTGAGAGCTGGTAAAAACTGGTGTGACTACTAACCTTACACGTGTGAAGAAACCTAGAGTTAACAGGCACTGATAAATGGTTCTGCAAAATAACAAACACAAACAACCACTACAACAAAGGCAAAATAAAAAATAAATAGAAAATTAAGAGAGACGCGTTGATAAAAAAAAAAAAAAAATCCACGCGTAAAATTTCGTTCAAACTTTTCCGATTCTGTCACCGAAATTGTCACGTCCTGATATTAACGAATGAGAAACAAGCGACAAAATAAAATTGCATTGAAATTGTCCGATATATTTTTTTTCTCCTTTTTTTTCCATTAAAAATCTGTCGCATCTGTAGCGACGTAGTTTCCTCGCGAATTTACTTTGCGATTTGCATAATTTCCCGCGTTCGCAGGACGATCGAAATTATCGAGCGGACTCGATAAATGTTGTTAAATTCCGTATTAATAATATCAGGACGTATTTAGGTCACAAGTGCTTTCCACAGCGTGCTGTACAAGTTTCATTTCGAACTTAACACTGCATAACCGCGCGCAACATTATACACGTATTCTTGTCATGTTACACGTTAATCATGAGATACCTAATCACATTGAAAAAAAAAAAAAAGAAAATCGATATTCAACTACGATAAAATTTGTGTATTCGAACATTGAGAAGGCATGCCGCGGATTGCTTTTTCGCGAAAGATACTTGAATCTTTTTCTGCTTAAAAAGCAACGGCGACCTCGAAATAGCGATACTGAAAGTAGCATGAAAGCAATCCAATTACATGCGAAAATTACTACTAAAGGAAATCGTTTGCGTTTATGTAATACGCGTGATTCGCTAAATGTGATGCTCCTCACGATAGGTGATACTTCTAAAATTTTCTCTTTCATTGCACGCACGCACCAATCTGTATCGTTAATTTCTTGTCGGATACACTTATGTATCTATTTCTTTTTCTGAAAGCAATTGCAACACCTTAAGAGATTCTGGCACTACTCTAATCGAATCGTCTAACATTTAAAAAAGCACAGAAAAGCATAAAGAGTGTTCTCATGCAACCATTGCATCTCTCCTAAGTCACATTCTCCAATAAACAATATAATTACACGGAATCGAGGTAATATTTTCTTACCGCGATTATTTCTTTAAGAACTGTATACATTTCTCAAATCTCTATTTGCGTGATGCGTGAATTTTGTTCATTTATTTAGAGAGTACACGCTATATATAATTACAAAAAAAGTTTATTGTAGCTTTAGATATATCTAAAGCTGCGGAAAAATGCATTCTCCTCGATTCCGTAATCTATTATTGAACAAATACGAAATATCCGAGCAATCGACCGTCATTACGCAAACTTAATTAAGTCTGGTAAGCAACATATCCTCAAAAAGTTTTCCGAAACAGATGCTAACAGTCTTCGGGGGAGCTATAACTTTGAGGATTCCGAGCGGAAACGTGACTTTTCGACTGACGAATTCCGTCGCGAATCCGAATCAATCACGCTTTAGTTGTCAACGAATAATTTTCGTAATCTCATTTTGTTCGGAATTGAGTCTCCACTCGTTCGCGAGATGTCGGAAACATTCCGATCGTTTCGGATATTAATCGCATATTTATAATAAGTTAAGTGACGAAAAACGGAATCACTCCGGATCGGAAACAATTCCGAACAGATAGATAATAGCTCCCCAGATTCGAATCATTTCGGATATCTCGCATATGTTGCAACATACTATGGCAGTGGTTCTTAACCGAGGTCTACGAGTCCATCCATACACGAGATGGATCTTAAATAAAGATGATGCGATGAACTTCGGGTTCTTTGGAGAATTAAGTAAATTCTTAAAAAAAAAGAGCCCTCATATTCGTGTCGCTCGTAATTAAAAAGCCACTGCGCTATAACAATATAGGCACAATCTACAATAATACGGGGCCGCGAGGATATTTACTTGGACGCTTGACGGATCCTGTGAAAAGGACAGCCTACCAGCTTGTGCCAAGCTGGTCGGCGACAGGTTTGTGGGACTGCTCGTTTGAGGACTCTGGAATATACCAGCGGTTCGACCATTTCAAAAAAAGATTCCCGCATATTTTCAAGTTTGGTAAATCCTACTTGTCTACGAGCCTGTTTGTACGAGATTGCGGCTCGATGTCTTCGCTTCGTATATCCGCGAGAGGATGGAAAAAAAATATATATGCATATATGAGACGAACGCGATCGCCGCAAAAAAGAGAGAATCGCGAGGAAAAACGCGATGCGAATGAACAATTACGATATCGACATCTGCCTTTTAAATTTTCTCTAATTGAATATCCTTTCGTCGACGGTATCAATTGTAATACGTTAAGTTAGTTAAACGATCTCGCTCCGTTCAATACAAAAGCAAATTACTTAATATCGATGATATCGCCGTTCTTTCTAAAAGTAAATGTTTTTTCCGGAAATAAATATATACTAGCATCTTAGAGAAAAATTTATCAGATTTCCCACAATCACAGATACAGATAATTTCGCAGATTATTATATAATATGTAAAACACACATATATATAATAAATTTAATGTCTTAGTGTTTAATTTTTGCTGAGATAGAATCTTAATTTACCCAAGAATTCGTAAACTCTGAATAAATTTGAGAAATTCTATACACAAATGTCAAGTTTTTATTCATCAAAATCTTGTAAATCAAAAGAGATTAAAAGTTCAAATTCTGATCTAAAGTTTAACTGATCAAATATCGAGGTATTGTATAAAGACCAGACGGATTAAATTATCTGTTAAATGCCAACGAGTAACGATGTTTATTTTTAGAACCTATTTGGCGATTGTATATTCGCGAGCAATAATCAAAATATTTTCGTGTTTCTTACTTGACACGTGCAAAATCTCTTGGAGGAACATATATATAAATGCACGCGCGAGCCGATAATAGATGCGTATTAATAGTATTATTAACACTCGCGCAAACTATCTTATATTATAGTACGCTATCGTTTTGGATGTCGTTTGACAGATACTTTCTCCGAGAGAGTCAAAGATAGATAGAGAAAATGAAAAAAAAAAAAAAAAGAAGAAAAAACGTCGCTGTAAAAGCGATGAAGACTCGCTTAGAAACGTGCAGCCTCGCGTAAAGTGCGTGTAAGATCGAGCGGAAAGGAAAAGAGAAAATGTTATTATATAGTCGATAGTATGCGATAATCAATGGGACAAACTTACGTTGCTGAACGGCGTACTACTCGAATGATCCTCCTGATCCAGAGGAGTATGAAGAGGTGACGGAAAGTGTACGTTGCTCAAGTCGGGCAACGACCCCGTGTTATTGCCTATCGGTATTTGCTGTCCCGGTGGTTGCGAACTCGGGTATATGCTGAAACGGAAAATTTCGCGAGGATTGCTACATTAACGCGAAATAAAAACGAACGCAAGTTTTATCGAATTTAATACCGCGATATTGACACAAAAATATCGTAAAATTTATTCTTTATTCAATCAGAACACTTTCGCAAAATCTTTGCCGGTCGATAAAAAGCGTAATTTTTGAAATATTTTCAAGGACACGTACTTAATCCCAGGCACTCTAGGTATTTCGCACGAGGATCTTGGTCGTGGGACTTCGATGAAACCGTGATGAGGATCTCTGTTGTCGCTTCCGCTCCCGGTCATAACGTGCTGATCTGTTAATTACAGAACACGATTTATAAAGCTTCGTAATCTCGTGATGGGGTATCATAAAAAGCTGCGATATAAGATATTAATGCGTCGCTCACAGAAATCTAGTGCATTTTTCATTCGTGCACGTTTTCTTCGTTTATATACATTCGGAGCTATATATTACTACGATACCGAATACAAAACGGTCATTTTGGTACAGCATCCTTCGTTACAGTTGTGCAGTATGCATGTGTTTCTCAAACTAGCTATCCAGTTTCTACGGAGCAACGTAATACCGCTTACTAACGTTACTATCGTATAATATTTCACTTGCCTCGTCTAGCGTAAAATTACTCTGTTGACTTTCATGATTTGTGTCGAGATAATTTTGATAGCTTTTACCAAAAAATGTAATATATTATTACTGCTCTAAAAATTTTGCGTGTCATGTCGGTAGCAAGAGAAAAACAGAATTTTATCCGTAAGTAATTAAAATAATATATATATATATATATAATAATTATATTACATTATTATAATTAAATCACATTATATATAATTATAACAAAGTAACATTAATTTTTGTCGATCTAAAGATTAAAATTTTGGAAGTTGATTCGAAATAATAATTCAATTTTACGAACTTCACATTTGTTTGGCATAAACTAGAGGCGCCTGTAATTAGCTTCGCGAATACAAGATGTAAATTAAACCGCAAGAATTTCGGATTTATAGTTTGAAGTTGCAAAAGCGGATTACGCTGTGTGTGCACTTCAAAGGCAAGCTCGCAAGAGGTCTGACAGGTCTTTGCAAAATTCCGTAGGTAGCTGCTTAAGAGAATGGAACGGCGTCGCGATATATAACGAGGTAATATGGTAATGACGGAATTTCCGAGCCGAGCCATTCGCGCATCAAAAAAGAAGCTTCGCGAAAACGACGGTATTTTACATAGATGAGCAACTAAATGGCGCTAAAAAAAAACTATATTATTCTCTTTATACGCAAATATTCGATCATGCTCGATTCCTTAAATGGGACAGAAAACGTGATTTTTTCTTCGCGCGAAATAAATTATGCAAATATATATATTATATACGACGCATCATTTTACCGGGATCTTATGTAAGGCTGTATAAATTATAAACAACATTTGCGCGACGAGTTTCACGTATTACTTTAATTAATCGCCTTCCTTTTTACAGATAAACTACGAGCGATTGTAAGGAAAATTACGTTAAAAAAAAATGTGATGTTTTTGACAGAATTTAGATAAGATACATCGGATGTTTCTTCACCGCGATACATCGGATTGTATGGATCGCGAGACGAAAGGGGAGCGTAAAGAGTTGTGTGTATGTTTTGATTTACAAAGGAAATATTCGAAGAAAATAGATATTATAGTTCCGAGACATCAATTTCCGCAGATAAGACAGAATGCTTCGACGAAACGTTATATTACGTAAGACTCCGCCATCTCGACAGATACGCAACCGACGTAAACATATACGCCCGACGGGGTTTTCCATAACTTTTCACGCAGCATCCGTTGTGAGAGGAGAGAGAAAGCGCCTGTCTCTGTCTCTCTCTCTCTCTCTGTATCAAAACAGGTTTTATGCTTTGCAAATAAATGAAAACCGACATGCGTTGCTACCTCGACGATGAGGTATGGCGGAGGTTGATTGACAAGCCTCGTTGGCGCTCTGATGCAGAGCCGAGTCGGAGTTTGTTCTACGCCAGGTATCCGGCGGCGGTGGCGACAGGTAAGGCACGCCGCTGTACGGCGACGTGTCGTGTCTCTTCTCCATGGGTCGGGATCGCATCGGTCCCACCCCCATGCTCCGACTTCTGTTGTCGCTACGATACACCATGGAGTTGTGCTGCATCTCCTCCAGATTGCTGAGCGCCGTCTGCAAAGATGCACGCAGAATTTCTTTGAAAATTTCGATCGACATTACGGCGACGCGATAGCGTGCAAAAAAAGATGCAACACGCGCACGTGTATGTGTATGAAAGCGATGTAAAATCGTTTGTAAAAAAACGGTGTTACGATGTAAAAACATTTATAATTCGTGCGGTAGCAGATAGTAGGTATGTACAATACATGCGTGTCATGCATTTTTATTTTATTGCGGTGCATTTTTATGCAATTGATTTGCATAAGTCACGATTATCATATGATACACACGTGTCTCTCACGAAGGATTACACTGCGTCAAAATAATTTCGGAGATAAATATTCTATTGCTCGGGAAAGGAGACGACTGCGATTCGATCCGCGAGCTAAATAAAAATGAAGAAAGAAGAATAAATGACTTACATGAGACTGCCAGAAGCCAAATTAATCCCTCTACTTCACTTGTTGTAATTTTTTTAATTTTAGTATCAGAATACATAATTAGTGCTTCGATACTAAAATTGAAAGGTTTATAAAAAGTGGAGTCGATCAGTTTGGCCTCCGACAGGCTCATAAACATATATATCGAGGCTACGAAAATCAAGATTATTAACGATAATTAACTAAAGCTTTCTAAAAGCTATTTCGCTGAATATAAATTATAAAATCAACCGCCAACGAATTTTCGCCGGATTCACGAAACAGATTCGCGCGCCTTTACACGCGAGGGGGAGAAAGGGAGTCGAAGGGAAATAATTCATTTCTATCTTCGTGCTACGGTGGCAAAACCCATTTTCCGAACCCACTCCGGCGCCGTTCGACCGACGGGCGAGGAATTTTCTCGTTTCGCGAATCCCGCCTCATAAAGCATCTCTCGTCTGTCTGCTTTACGACCCCGTCGTCGCGCGCGTTGCCGTTTACGGGCGGCGATTAAAACGACGTAAAGAAATTTAATGCGGCCATTTCATGCCGTCGTAGATTCCATAGAAATCCCGCTAAGTGTTGGGTGTCTCACACCTGAGAAAAATCATTACGCGATGGAGAAGAAATTCGCCGCGTCGTCGAATAAACTTTATCACGATATTTCGCCTTTTCTACCGCGTGTGGCGAAATTATATGCCGGAATAATCTACGGAATATATCGCCGTCTCACGCTTTCCGTCACGGCTATTTTTACCACACATTTGATTATCAAATTATAAGCAAACATAGCAAACATATATTGCGACCAGTCTCCCTTTACGCCGCTTGCAATGACATGTGCGACAAGGGATACTCTCGAGATGCTGTCTCGCGCTGCTTTGTATCCCGAAAGAAAGAAGGTAATCTGCAAATTGAACATCGCTAACTCGGATCACATGATACCTGCGTTTCTTCTCCAAGAAATTCCAGGTAAAAATTATCCGAGCTATACATATCATCCTTTCTAAAACTTAAATTGCTCTTTAATATTCTATCTTTATCTTTGCGTTCTCTTATCTGGCTTTATAAGATTTATACATAATGCGAGAATAAATAAAATTATTTGATATAATTTATATAACACAACAGCGTTCGAATCAATTTAGATCTCGCGAGACTTGCTCGAAAGGGGAAGCGCATTACTAAAAAAAAGTGACTTTCAAAGCCCGCTATAAAAGAACATAAGCGTCGGATTTTGACGGAGATAAAATTATTTCTCTCTCTCTCTCTCTCTCTCTCTCTCTCTCTCTCTCTCTCTCTCTCGTGTGTGTGGGATTCTGAGCTTCCTGTCTGTGGCGCAGGACCGCGAATTTAATAAAGAAATCTCTAGCTGTTCCCCTGTTGGCCGCCATGTGTTGGCCGAACGTGGGTCGCACAGCTATTACCTAATATCAGTTGAATTATGCGATAAACACGAAACGTCTCTACCAAACGATTATGGGCGTTCATGAACGACATTGGACAAACGCGCGTGTCGTCTGCTCGTTAATCACACTATCAGTTTCGAAAGGCGTTTCGATTATCACGCCGGAAATGGATGGGCGAGTAAGATGTTAACAAGCTTTTTTACAAAATTTATTAAATCACGCACATGCAATCTTATTATTAGATAAAAAGTTAAATCTTTTTTATTGTGTGTGTGTGTGTGTGTGTGTATATGTGTAAGATCTTTTTCCATATTCCATCCATATAATCTCTCTTCCGTTTTATGCGATTATATCTCTTTTATCGCGAAAAATTTTAAAAATTCTCGCTCGTCAATGCAATGTTTATATTGCGACGCAACAGTTTTCCGCGTACTTGGAATCGCGTGAGTGACGTAACAGCACAACTACACACGCGATAGATAACTCTCGCGATGGATTTTATCGAAGCGTATTTTGCAAGGAAGCCTAAAAACGCGTCGATGCAAGTCTTAACGAGCGGATCGCCCCTATGTTAGAATACTCCGTTTGCATAATGTGCAGAATATCGTCGTCTGGCATAGTGACGACGCAAGAATAACCCCACCGCGACTTTTTTACGTCGCGCACACGAGTGGTACACATATATATATACACACACACACACGCCACACATATACACAGATGTAACACATACATAGCACGGGCGCGCCGTCTCATCCTGTACGATAGAGTAGATGTTAACATATTCCGTCGCGTATCGTAGTACACGCTCGTGCTCTCACGCACGCGACAGCGATTCTTTCTCTCTCTCTCTCTCTCTCCTCGAGGGCTCTCCTCCTCACCTGCGTCTCGACGCGAGGCTCATTGTCAGTGTTAGTCTCGCGAGAGTAATCTCATGACGGACACGCGAGACACGTCGGAGGAGGGTTACAAAGCCGTGATCAATGTTACGTTACATCGCATCGTCTCCCTCCCCCCTTCCTACCTCTTCTAGCTTTCCGCGTCTCGCCACGCAAAGAGGAATGTAATTATTCCGTTATACATATTCAAAAACGAGATTACGTGGTCTCGCGCCCCGAAGTAGATGGCAAATGTATGGCACGTTATTCATTCAAAGTGCAAAGCACTACGTTGCATTTATACACATATGCCGTTTATATTGTGCTCCCCCTCCTTCTCTCCCGAGAACAGAAAGCAACGAATTTAAATTCTGATTTTACGCCGGGATACGAGAGAAAAAGATTTCTTCTTACTTCTCCGCCCATGGAATAATCATAAAAGCTAAAAAGTATTATATTTTTGGATTTTTCCTAAACCCCTCCGAAAAAAAAAAAAAAAAAAAAGAATTTGCTCATCTTATTTATATGTAAAGGCGAAACAAGTTTTCAACGCGAAATTCCTCGCAACTTTCTATTAATCATTTATAACCTTTATATATTTTTTTTAATCGTAGCGACTTTCTATTAGTTATTCGCATCTCTCACAGCTGCACGCAGTATATATTATCGTTCATCAGCTGTCTTGCCTTCCGAGCAATATTATGCGGCTATATAAGAAGAAATATATTTGAAAATGTGTCGTCAATTTTTTAATCCTATTTATTAAATTTTTATACAGATGTGATTGCAAAATTTACTACTACTCTGATATACATATAAGAGTATCTTATATTTTAAATAATTGAGATAAAGAGAGTTCATTTTTTATATTTTAGTTTCGCTAAAAGCATGTTTAATCGGGAACACATCTTTAATCGGGAAATTATATGCCTGTGAAAATTATATTCTTTTTTCACAGGCGATAATCTCTTTGTTAATTTTCTTTAAAATTATGGTTAAAAAAACTATTTTCGAAGGTTGCGCACGCGTCAATACGCGAAGTTCACGCCTGAATGATGAGAAAAAGCACAATGCGAGGTGGAAACCTCTAGGTTCACATGGCATAATTATTGTCACGGACAAAAGATTAATATTTTATTATAAAATATTACTTTTACGCACCGATATAACTTGAGTATATGTATTATTATAAAACGGCAATATCTATACTTGGCGCTAAGAAATTTTGCAATGCAGTTCAGAAGACGCGGTAGCGTCTCGCTAAATATATATATCTATCGTTTTTCTTTTTTTTATTTTTATAACTTATCTGTCTCCTCGTGGCTTGAATGAACTTTAATTTGGTTTTAAGGTCGCGTGCCGCTATTAAATATTCATCCGGCTTATGTCCTTCGGCTCTCACAGATGATATTCAAGGACACCGCGGCCGATCGAACGCCGATGACACTTTCCAGGTTGTAATTATATCTTCGTTTGACCTCTTATGCAAGTCGACCGTCCGATGTCGGATCGCTAACGGTGCAGTGGAATGAGAAATTATGGGACGAGGCAGAATCCCTCGCGCGAACCGCGCCGTGTAAGGATTTTCTCAACGAGAAAATCAAAGACCTTCGGCATTATCGGCATTAATATTACATAATACAAGAGAGATGAATAGATTTTAGTCGGAATTGCGTTGAGAGAATTCCCGCATCAAAATTATTCTCTTTTAAAAAAGTTATAAAAATCTACTCTTTCAAATCTCCAAGTGAGAGACCGTTCGTTTACCCCTTATTTGAAGTCTAAAAAATAAACTTTTTATATAAATGAACTTCATCCTTTATAGAAATCCTTTGGAATCTATAAACGATGAGAAAATTGAAAATAGCTGCAAAATTTTGACTCGGGTTGGGATTAATTTTGAAAAATACTTTTTCGCTGAAAATATAGAGAATGGCGTTCTCCAAAACGAGAAGAGAATAACGTATAATCAAACTCTTACAATTTAACGATCTTAACGGCGAATAGCTCTGAATTCCTGACGATTCCAAATATTTTTGTACAGCCTAGTAGAACGAGAACGTGCGGGACACGTAGTGTATGAATGGGGCGAGGAACATTGTTGAAGAACCGATCGTCGTCGCTTATTCCTTTCTGCGATCTCGTGCTCGCTCGCACAGTTCCCTGCTCCAGCGACCTAGGTCCCTACCCTTTGCCTCTCTATGACAACTTTGCTCCACCCCCACATACACACACACACACACACACACATACGTCGTCGTCGCGACGGCCCGCCGCCGTCTGTCGTCTCCCAACGGCGATGACCCACTTTAGCGAGGATACCTATCCGCCATTCAAGGCTGCTAGTTAGATAAGAAAGAAACAGGAAACCCGCGTTGCATCTTCAACCAAATTCGTTCGTACAATCTATACGCAAACGTGAGATACGCGTAGATAACCCGGTCGCTTTCTCTCTCTCCTCGCGACCTTTCGCGATTCATAAATCATCGCGAGGGTAAAACGGCAGTAATAAATCTTATAGAGCGGGGTCTTAAACGGATTGTTTCGTTAGTATATATTGCCGCAGGCGAAATCCCCGGGAATCTCGAGTATACGAAACAACCGTTATCCTGGAAAATCGATCGCCAGGGCTGCGATGGATGAGAGCGGATCAAGGAACGAAGATCCTGTGTGTTTTCCAAAACAAACACTCTCGCCTACGGAGAGACGATATATCGATGCTCCTGCAAATTTTCGCGATATATATAGCGGGAGCTCTCTCAATCCTACAACGACGAATTCAGCGTCAATAATCGAAACTGCAGGCGGCTGCGGTCGTCGACAATCGACACGCTGGGAACAAATGAAACTGGTGAACTACGAGTTACCTGCACGAGTATAAGCGATCAATATTCCGTATGCGATTACACACACATACATACTCGTCGCGAAGCACGTGTACGCGGCAGTGTTTGTTTTCTACTATATCGCCGGAGCTTGCACGGTTGCTCGCATCATTGGAGGGATGCTATCCTTTCATGCAAACTTTCCTCTAGACATTCTAAAGGGTGTAGAAACATCCTGTCGGAGATTTCTTTTTGCGCTTCTTCTTTCGTTTGAAAAGATATTAAGTCTTTAGATATATTAATAATTCATGAAATTTAAACTTTTTATTATAATATAATTAAGTAATAATTTAAAGAGATCTTTTTTCGTTCTTCATATATATATTAAGTATATACAAATAAAACATAGACTGAGACTTTTATGGAACAACGATGTCAGTCTACGTTTCAGTGAAACGTACTTTATATTTCCAGCCAGCTACCGTATTTCGCGGTCTTAAAAAATTACGACAGTTCTACTATATATAGATACTCGAACGCGGATGTTAGACGTAGCTACAAAAAATGAAGCGTGACAAATGACATCGTTGTATCATTGATCATATCATTTGAGACTGCTGTCTATATTTATCTCGAGAATGAAGGCTCGTACGCGCATCGTCTACGGAGTTGCCATTCAATTAGATCGCGCCGATGCCAGGCCGAGCTCTCGCACGAGACGTCTGTCGCCGCCGTCGTCGGTATGAACGGCGGATACCTAGGTGCGCCGCGACACGTGCGCAGGAGCAGAAATCCGCCGGAAATTCGATCGATTCGGCGCGAGAAAGTTGGACGACGGCGGGAAGACGCGCCGCGGATGCAATCGCGAGCGACGACGGAAATCGCGTCGTCGAATGATCGAACGGCGACGAGGGCCAAGAGGCAGAGAGAGAGAGAGAGAGAGAGAGAGAGAGAGAAAGAAAAGTCTTTTGACCCCGATCATATCCGCGGGGGAGTAGGCCCGGATACAAAACGAAACGTGTCTCTTTGCGCGATCGAAACTTGGCCTTGGCTGCCTTCGGTAGCAATGCACCCGCCCGCTAATCGCGACTGATTCTTTAAGACGCATAGTGCATGTGCATTCGGATTTTCGAGATACATAGATAACTCTGTTTAAGATTGACACTAGTGAATGCGAGACCTTTCTGACAGATTTAAGATAGTCACGAGACGAAATTTCGCTTCTATTTTAATCTCAATCATTTTTTTCGTGCATTCTAGAGAATTTCAAAATGGGTTTAATTTATATAGGAATTAAGCTACTTTGTATCTTAAATAGGCAATAAAAACTATAGGTTAACTAATTCTAAAAAAAGGTTGATTTATTTAAAATATCTGAATAAAGACAGAGATGTGAGATTAAAAATTGAAATGGAAAGTAGAATAAAAATTTCGATTCGGATAATCAGATATTAGAAGCACACGCTGGGGGAGCAATTTGTCGCTTCAACTGGCAACGGAAATTCAACGCAATGCGCGGGGGTATAAAGCGATATATGTATAGGAGACTCGCGCTACCCTCGAACCGCGCGCTGTATCAAGGTCAGAGTGTATTAATAAGCACGACAGAGCTCTCTTCGTGGCATTGCGATGCTCGGAGACTAAACAATGATTTCTTATTGTCCTTTATGATCGATCAGCTTCACGCGAAGCTATAAGACAGCTTTGAAAGTGGTATCACTTATTCAGGAAACACACACAAGGTCTGTCGGTACGAGGAAATGTGACTTTACATTATTCCAAATTACATACAATTTTGCAATACACTGTCTGAGTTTCAGGTGAAACGCTAAGGAAGATCGACCGGTCGGAATTTGAAGCACGCTTACGAATTTCACATTATGTTTTGTCTCATCCGTGAAGAAGATAAGATAACTTGATTACCTTAGTAATCACTAAACTACCTATCTAAATTATCTTAGTATATTGTTTTAAATCGTAATTTTCGTAATTGAAATCGTATTTTTTAATTGACAACACATTATAATCCTTAAGCGCGTTTATTTAGTTCTACCACGAGATGCGCGACGCAACAAATTGTAATTAATCAGATTTACGAGTACAACGTAATCCGATTGAATGGTATATATCGAATCGCATTGACATTATCGATCAAATTATTGTTGCACTGCGTAATCTAATTAATTTTCAATGATTGCAGTGGTAGAGAACAGAGAACAGCGCGTAATGAGAAAATACGGAGGGTCAATCAGACGAGTTCACCGATTCGATTTAATTCACGCTTAAATTGAATAGCAAACGCTGTTTTTTGTCCTCGCGTCGCGAGAACTTATGCGCAAACGTCAATAATAATAATAATGATAATGATGTTAATGATAGTGATAATGATCTCGATATTAAGTTTCGTTATACAGTATAATTAGTTCGTTATGAATTGATACGAAACTATGCTACAAATAAATTGAATACACGAGTTCGCTCATTGTTGATTACATTTGATAGCAGTTACATATCGTAATCTCCGCAAGTAAACAATTATATCCACATTGGCAAATTACACGAATCGTATAATGCGAAGCCTAGCCTATAATTCCAAGTCATTAGAGTGATAATAAGATCGGAAGTATCGAATTGACGTATCACAAATACAAGCACGAGATTGCTATAAGATTTATTCTCGTTTTCCTCGGTCTAGCCTATAATTCCAAGTCATTAGAGTGATAATAAGAGATCGGAAGTATCGAATTGACGTATCACAAATACAAGCACGAGATTGCTATAAGATTTATTCTCGTTTTCCTCTTTTTTATCTCGAATTTAAAATGACAAAGTTAGCCAATTTTCAGTTATTATCATACCCGCTAATTCCCCTGATATACCATGATATTGTCGATGATGCTTACAATTTACTCGTAATTTGATAATCATGCGTTGTATATTTACTGGTTACGACACTGTCCTCCGCGAATATCTTCCGTATTATCAGCGGATGTGCGTTATTTAGTAAATTATCTTTTATATATTCCATATTATTGAATGTAATATATACTGAAATATAATTTATACATTTTTTATTCGAATATTATAATTTCATTCGGCGAAAAAAACAAACATGTTGAATAAATAACGAAACGCGCTTGAAACTTAGAACATGTAAAAGTATCTATGGCAATATAAATATATCGAAATTGAAAACACTATAGGGTCGTGCGTTGAATCAAATAAGCGCCAGTCTCCGGTCTAAGGTCTCAATGGAGTGGCGTTAATTACGTGTATTAAGAACATCCCGTTATTTAGCAGAAAACAAACATCGGGTAATTTTGTAATTCGCGTATAAAAATTTAAAAATTTAATAAAATTTAATAAAAAAAAAAAAAACAAACAATATTTCTATCAAGATGGAAATTATTTTGATTTCAATTATAATTTTTTCTAAAAAGAAAACTACAATATATCATACTGTTTAATTCATTGAATGAGTTTTTATACGTATATATTAACGGTAAAAAAATATTTTATTAAAATAATCGCGTTAAGCTTGAAGCTATCGTGCAAAAAACAGGAAAAAGAAAGCAAAATTTTCTCACTATATAATTTTCTTTTTCGAGTTCAGTTTGATGCGTGGGCAATAAAAAACGAAAAGTTCCGAGCCGAGTATGTGCATCTAAATCTAGTATACATTATCGATACGCAGGATATGTCGAAGGTCGCAAACATACGTAATCCCGCGCTGCGCGCTTCCGTCAAGAGTCGGAAAATTAGCCGGGGTTTAGGCCGGCGACTTTGAACGGCGGAGAGCCTCAATTAGTAAGCGAAGGATATAGCATTAACCCTCTGTTAAGCACGCCCACATCCCGTTGTCGCGGCGTTATAAAAACCGCGCGTAACCGACGCGGATGATACATTCTGTCGTGGAAAAGTGACATATCTCGAGACGAGCAAACGCACAAAACGATGCACGTGTCGGTGATCCTTGGCGTGGTGTTGCTACAGGCGATTTACGTGTCCGCCGGGGTAAGCGGCTTACTTTCTGGCTTACTTTCGATTTTCGATATACCGCGGAACAGAACCCCCCGTCATCCCCGATAGGGGCAACGCGTTGATAATCGCATATAGTAATCCGCTATACTATCGCACGCGCGCGCGTTATTTTATTGAATGGTGCTAAAGTCCGAGACGCGAGAATAAATTCTGCCCGCGATGCGCTCGTAATAAATTCTGATTTTGCCTAGCCACCTGACTGGATCCCCCCGGAAATGTTGGAGATGGTTCAATCCGACAAGGAACGGTGCATGGCCGAGCACGGAACGTCTCAAGGTGAGTCTCGCGACCAAATAGCGTAATCAACATTCGGCCGATAATCCCGTGCTACAGATGCGCTGGCACTTTGCAAGTTCGTTCTCCGAAAATAATATTTTATTACGAGAAGAAAGATTATTTCTAAAATTATCTTATTATAATGGAAAAAATACATTTACTCTTACAATATTTATTCTAAAGCTGAAATATAACGACATTAGAGTATTTATTACTTTAAAAATTGTAAATTTAACGATTACGCATTCGTTTGTACATCAACATATTTTATTATAAATTCCACGACTGCTAAACTTATATTGTAATTATTACTATAATATTTTCTCGGTATAACGCGGGTTTATAATGGACATTTCAATTTCACGAGGCAGCGCTTATCGACGAGGTTAATGATGGGAAACTTACGAACGATCGGAGTATAACGTGCTATATGCATTGCCTTCTCGATTCATTCAGTTTGGTAATTTCTTTACGCATTACTTCGTTTATTATCATATATATAACGAAACGAACACTCATCGAAACTTCGACACAGGTCGATGACGAGGGTGACTTGGAAGTCGAAATGCTGATGAGCGTCATCCCCGAGAACTTTCAAGAAATAGGTAACCAGATTTTGAACAAATGTGCCAAGCAAGGTGAGTCGCGCCTCGAAATGCCTTTTATCCACGATAATTATTATTTTATTATCGTTTCGCGAATCGATCTCTTTCCGTTCTAACTTTTAATCGATATTTTAGACGGCGGGGATCCATGCGAAAAGATATTGAATATAGCAAAATGTGTCCAAGCAACAGTACCAGAGGTAAATGTGTATGTGTGTATGTGTGCGCGTGTGTATGTTGAACGATGTTTTTAGTGAATAATTTAACAAAATTAATTTCGTCTTTAATCATGTTGCGCGGTTAAATCAATATCGTGCAATATTATCCTATGTTTTTCTTTCTAATTAATACGTCTAAATGTATCATTGCAGCTGTGGTTTATGGTTTAATTCAACGCAAAGGAGAAATTTGCTTCACAATCGTGTGCGACACGGACGATATTATGATAGAAAACAACTCGCTCGTGGAGAAAAACGAGGAACAAAGAAGTAGCATAGGGATCTGAATTATGTAAATTAAAAAAAAAATAATATGTATAATAATAATAGTAAGTAATCACGACAAACACATGCGGCCTAACATGAATAAAACTGAGATGGAAAATGTTGTAAAATATTGGATAAATTATAAATATGCATTAAAACAGATCCGAGCACAATAACGAATTGAAGGGAGGGTCGTGAGATATCGATGCATAATAACGAGAATATTTATGAGCGCATGTTTAATTAAATAATTTTTTATGATTTTATACGCCTTTGATTCCAGTACCATTTAACTTTCTCACAACTCGCTCACAGAACTGTATTATTCGTAGAGGGTGAGAGGGGGTATATGCAATTAATTAAACACACAAGATTCGCGTTGTAAAGAACAAATAATACGTGCAGGAGAAAAAATTTATTAAGAAGAAACTCAAATAATGTGAAAAACACCGGATAAGATTTATTAAAATTAATTGGTAAGACCTCGACTAAAAAATTGAAAGATTTAGTGTATGTGTCTGTATATGTGAGAAAGAGAAAGGAATAAGAGGTAAGTTTATAGTTTGTAGAAGTCCGTTTATAGAAACGCGACTTCGTACTTAAAGTTGGCGAATTATAAGGTTACCTTAGACTTAGCATTGAACCCGTCAATTACGCACGAGATAAGAATGCCCCAGTTTACCCGATACTGCCATGATTTCGGCAATCTTATATATAATACGCATAACAAACTATGCTTTCGCGGTTGTAAAATAATTACTTGTTACGCGCGTAGCAGTAGACATAATTACAGTCCTTAACCAACAAATCGCAGGTACTTGCCTATACGCTTTGTAATTTCATGGCATTGTGATCAGCATAATATGCGGAAAAGATATTGCATAATATCTTTATTGGCCCTCTCTATCTAAGATGACATTGCATAATTTTCTTAGTCCATCCGGACACGAGAGAACTTCATTCGAAAAATTTAATTATTATTCTGAACGATGCATAAAGCTATACATTTTGCTACTTCGAAATAATATCAGAATTAAATAAAATTATTTAAATTTTCTCACACACATACATACGCACGGACAATACACGCGTACTTTTTATAAAACAGAGAGTAATTTTTTTCTATAATATAATTTTTAATTAGCTTGCTAATAAATCCATTATAAGTTATCAGGAGATGTTTGAAACTTGACCGTTAATTTACATTCATTAAAACTTTTCGAAACTTTTGATGTAGGATCGTCGCGATTTTGTGACTTTATCTACGTCGCTAAATCCCTCGGGAAGACATTCAAGTTAATTATTAATAACAGGGCTTGGTCATACTTTCATAAAGATATTTTCCACATTCGAGATGTTCTGCATTATCTTAATAAAAAATAACTTTTCGCTGGTAATTAAATGTGCAACTGCGACGTAGACACGATACACAAAGATTACAGAGTTTGATGGATATGTATGTGTGTGATCTCAATCCTTATTAATTCTTCTTAACATAACACGAAAATAATGTTTACATTGGGAATGTATGCATCATTCATATCACTTTATCAACTTTTAATATTTTGTCCACTATTTTGACTATTAATGCGCGTCTTAATTTAATTATCGCTTAAAATAAAATATAGCTATATGATATCTAGTGTGATCGGATATCTTTAATTCGTGCTATTACGTACGTGCCATGCAATTGCAATTTACTGTGCAAAGACATTGCCAAAAAAAGAAAAGGAAATTAAGAAGAAGATTGCTACAAAAAGGAAATTGTCACGATCGGCACAAGTCTCGATCCAGAGTTCCTACTCGCAAAATACAAAGTGGATTTCGCAATCATACCGGAACCTGGCGCGAGACAAAGCGAGTAAAATGCCCGCGATACGGGATGATCCTTAAAAGCACGGAGAAAAGTCTTTCGCATATGTCGTAACATCGTAAAAGAAGCTTTCGCTTTGTAAAAGCTTCAAAATGATGCAACAGAAAATTGTTTCATCGCGAAAACACAAAGTTATTACTTTGAGAAATAATATATACTACCGGCAAATTTTCGCAGAATAACGGAGATCAATTTTATTATTCGAGAGAAAATTTTTCTAGAGCTAATAAAAAAACATTGTGTTTGTGACTGAAATAAGTCGGAATGAATTGAGATTGAACTTTTTTGTTGCGCTTCTATATACATATCAATTTAAAACTTTCGCAACTTGATTTGACATTTATGTCATATTATGTCATTCCAAGAATCATAAAGCTTCGGCACAAAATTAGCAGGAAAAAAAAAAAAGAGTTTCGCTCGCGCATTTCTTCAATTATCTAAGAATCGAATAAATCTATAAGACGGATATGACTCTGACGAGGATCGGCGAGAACGCGATTCGGAAGAATTTTTCTCCGTGAAACGAGAAGGTGGGGTAACAAAACGAAACGTTCGGGAGATAATAAGCCTAACAACAACAACAGGAACAACAAGGATAGCTTCGTTCGAGAGGATCAAGCGGTACAGACCTTAAGGTCGATCGAATGGATCGCGCCGGTGTGCGGCGAGGAGTGCTCTTTCGCATCGTTGCCGCAATTCACATTGTTGTTAACGTTCGGCAGCGAGCCGCCCGCCCTGAACTGATTTCCCAGGTTAATATGTAGATGCTTGCCGCTCGACTGCGGTGGACTGGCGCCGGCACTCTTGACGGACAGCGGGGTCTCCGGTACGCCGGATCCCGTGGGACTAGCACCCACCGAGCTGCTCGCCGAGGCCACCTGTGCAGGTCCGTCATTCATAACCATTGACAAGCGTCGCAAGCGCGATAGTCTCGTAAACGAGCCCCTTAATATTTACGGATCTTCATTCGCGACGAGTGAATCGCGGTTCCTCTCTTTCGACGAATGCGATCTCGCGGAATCCGGTGAACCCGAAAGGTCAAGGATCTTTCGCGTGACGTATCGCGATTAATTTTCGAAAAAATAATCTTGTGAAAATTTCGCAACACACGGCCAAAATTTCGACATTAGATAATATTTACGTCGCGATTAAAGCTTCGTGCGTTCAAACTGCGATTCGCAGTTTCGCATAGGTTTTCCTGATCAAGTTTTCGCGGCGTAATATCGGCCTTTCTATGGACCACGCTCCGATAAACAGGTTCTTATCTACGTAGCGAATTCCATTCTCCGATTGCCGATTCGAACGGTACTCTGATCGGCTATTCTACGAGAGAATAAATTCGAACGAAACGCATACGCAAACTTTGCCGTAAACAGAAATTGCGAAATCTACGACGGAATTCTTTTTCTCGTACATCTCGTACGCCGTACATAAATTGATGGACGAGATATAATAGAGATGCTAGTTTAAATGACAATTAAAAAATATAACAATTAAAAATCCAGAGTTCAATCTACACATTTTCGCTCTAAATTCTAATTGAATTTGAACATCCATGTATATGTATGTATACAGCGTATCCAAATATTTGAAAATTTCTACATGTAAAAGACGGAAATCCAATTTCGTTTCATTCAAGCAGAGATTTTTGCTCAAGAACACTCAGAGATCTCATATCAAATAATCCCGCGCGACGTTTTTATCTTTTTGGCGCGATTGGAGAACGTTCCCCGGTGCCCCATTTTAACCGCGCGCTCGGAGGTGCACTCGAGGACGCTAAATGCATCGACCCAACCTCGCCGACGCTCCCATTGAAAATACTTCGAGGGCCGCCGGCGCTAGCGAGAGAAAGAGGGAGAGAGAAACAAAGAGAGGGAGAAACAGAGAGAGAGAGAGAGAGAGAGAGAAAGAGGAGAGCGGAATGTTTACATGCGCATCGAAACGTATCGAACGCACATTAATCGAACGTCATATTGTTCTAAAAATGTTTTGTTTCTATTGTTTTTTTTTTTTTTTTTTTTTTTTGGTCCAAGAAAAACACCCTCGAATATCGCGTTTCAACAGAAGAAAAATGTAGAAAGAAAAGAAACGCGAAATTATATCGAAATAAGATAACGAGAAAAATAAATTCGGACAAACGGTTCTCTCTCTCTATCTCTCTCGCGTTAGCCGAGTAGAATGTAGCACGAACGATCGATTGTTCGCGCATGTTAAAGCGTATGAATTTCAAGTGGCACATTGATTAGCGCGCGGGATATCAGGCAAGATTGATTCATCGCGTTTAATCGCTCACCGCGATATAGCTCGCGGGCACGCCGCGACCTATACGTCGCGGATGCACCCGCAGGTGCGCGTCGGATCGTCGCGTGCGTCTCGCTCGCGAGAAGCGCGTCGCGCGACGAAAGTTTATGCGACGTACATATATACATACATATATCGGAGCGCATATATATATATATATATATGCATCGCACGAGCGATGCACACGCATGCCGATACGCGGCCGCGCGCGCGATGCACTTGCAGCAGCAGCAGCAGCAGCAGCAGCAGCAGCAGCCGTTGTTTACGTTCTAACATCTGAGCCGAGGGAGGTGCACGGACGGGTCACGGTGCCGCGACACGGCATCGACCCTTTCGGCGCGCGCCAAAAGACCTACTGGTATTTCCTTACTCTGCTCGTGACGTCCGAAACCTCCTTCATGATCGCCTCGAACGCCGCCGAGTCCTGCGCCTCTTTCTGATTCAGCAGCGCGATCTTTTCACTGAATTTCCGTGGATTCGCCATGATGGCTCGCGGCACTAGTTTTTCGCGGACCCTCGCGGAACCCGGAGCACCCACCACCACCACCACCACCACCACCGCCACCAACCACCGCCACCGCCGCCAACCACCACCACCACCACCGCACACAACCACCACTACCGTTACCCGCTAAGCAACAGCACCGACCACCACCCTCGTCGGGGCGCTCCGTCCCCCCTTGCAATTTCTCCCGTTTTTCTTTTTTTCCACTCGTTCGTCGTACCGCGACGCGCACCACCGTTCGCGGAATCTCGCACGGACGACAATCGCGCTTCGTAACACGCGTAAACCGTTACGTGTGCCGTCTCGATAGCACTGGCGAACACTGATACGCAAGATCATGCGGCGCAGCGCGCCACGCGCATCGAGCAGCAGCAGCAGCAGCAGCAGCAGCAGCAGCAGCAGTCGCACATACATAACACGCGTACACATACACGCGCACACACATGCACGCATACATAGCAGAGCACGCGCACGGCTCCCTCGCTCAACCCGGCTCACGCACACGCACACGCTCGCGTATACGCGGAGAAAGAGAAACGCGACAATGCGCGGTAAACGAAAAAAAGAGATGGAACGGATTAGAAGGAGAACGAACGGATACGCGGCGTACGGCGTAGAGATAGTGCAGGAGAGGGGGG